GAGAGCAAAAATAGCGACTATCGCGAACAAAAAACGCGAACCGCAACGCGTCTGGCGACATAAAATAATTACGGTAGCCACTTTTTTTTTGGAAATAAAAGATATAATGACATAGAACATCAAACAACTTGCTAAATGAAATGTTAACATTTAAAACCTAATGCGATATTTTGCAACTCATGATATCATTTGGTTTTCCGCTTCATGTAAAAAGCATAAGCTTATCTTGATTAATGAAACATTTCAATATTGTGTTTTTAGAAATTTTTTTTTCTTTTTGTCGAAACGAAAACAAAACAATTTTCTCAGAATAATTATTCGAATACAAACTTAAGACTCAACTGCATTCATATTCCGATAATCCGAATGCGTTCCGATTTTGCCCGATATTAGTTCGCATGGTGACGATGACGTCGATAATCGGAATCAAGGTGTTGATGTCAACGATTTGCACAAAAAGTTCAGAGATTTTGTTTTGGATCCAACATTTCCTCGACGATGTTCGCTTTTTTCGATTGTTGTGAGCATTCGCTGTCGGAATGCGATTAGAACGAAACACATGCTTGTCTAGCCGTCAAAATTTATTACACAACTATCATTTCGACGTATTTTTGAACTTTTTCTCACCTTGTTCGCGATTTTTTTGAGTTGCTCTTTGGCTCTGCCAAACGCTTCTCCAATTTGGGCGAGATTTTTGTTATTCACAAAGCAGTGCATCACCAAATAATACTACATACTTTTTTTTTTGAATACGAAAACTTTGCATTCAACTCGTTTCTTTTATTCATAAACATTTCCTCATTTTAAAACGCCAATATTGTAATATCTATTCAACAGCAAAAATTGAGAGACACATAATTGAATGTCTTTTGAACATTTCAAATCCTTTTTTAAATAACAAATTTCAGTGTTGTCGAAATCGCTCGACTGCGATAAATCGGCAGAGAGTCTGAGATGGTCTCGAGGCGATGAGTTGCGGGAGTGAACTCGACAAGAACAACAACAACGCGTTGTAAATATCCCCACTCGTAAATTGACACACCTCGTCGGCTCTATAATAGAGCGTGCCGAACGCAGTCGCGCGATATCGACAATCTGCGAAACTCGCAAATCTAGAAAATTTATAGAATCAAAATATTTCCAAATCTGGCAAAAAATAATTTGTGATCGAAAAAATTGTTATAAATGTGATAGCATCAAACACCAGGCGTTTTTTTTTTTTTAATTTCCATCTAAAAACAAATGTTAATTTTTTCGATTTATTCAATTTTCAATCAAATATCATTTGTTTTGTAAAGAATCTTTTCATTATATCTAAAATGCGATTTTCTAATTGAAATAGATCGATGCATATTCTCGAATCCTCCATTGCTATCGAAATCCTTAAAAAAGTTTTTCCTTCCGATTTCTATTTTGATTTCGATTTAATTCTTAATTATGAAGGGGAAATGCCATTTATTGCTCAATATCCAATACTTTCTTCGTTTGGAGTGTCGTAATCCGACGAAATTAAATTTGAATTCAATCATTTCGTTAAAGGCGGGGGGGGGGGACCAATGCTTTTCTTCGCTGCACTTTCTTTCATTTTCCCACATTTTTTAGTTCTTATGGACGTCGGTATAACAACAAAATGATATTATTTTGGCAAGAAGCACTACTTGAAATTATGCTCATTTACGAACGAAAAACAACATTTTATAGCTTTCGAATAATAATATTGTTTTTTTTTTCATTGAAATTAATTAGCTTGATAACAATTAGCAAAATAAAAGCGAAGCAAAGTCAGAAAAGGATTTGTGTGGGTGCGGAAGTGGTCTCATTACGAAACGGCTTCTTCCGGAATTCATTGATTTCTTTGTTGAGTGCTCCAAAAGCTTCTCAACTCGACCACCTCCAGTTGCTCCAGCTCCTTTTTGAAGGTCATTCTTTGTTATTCGTCATTATCGGCCTTCATCCTTCAAAATTTTCAAACATTTAACCGCGAAAACAAACATAATTTAATCAACTTTTTTCATCCGAAAAGAACTTTTTCGTCGCCGTCCGAAAATGTGTTGCTCTTTGAGCTTCATCTCATCTCGAAACAAACATTTTCGTTTAATGTTTTTGTCCAAACTGCGTGACATTACAGCTCTTTAATTATTCACCAATTCTATTGAGATATTCGAATCAGGCTGACATCGAGAACATCGAAAAGACAAAAATGAGAGCTGCAATTGATATTATCGAATCTTGCGATTCGTCGTCCATATTTCAATTTTTACAACATATGTTGTTGAGTGGACATAGACATTCCAATCTATTTGTGTCTTGTTCGTTGATCTCTCACGATTTTATCGAAATATAATTTAAACAATGTCGAATAGTTAAATAAGATATTATTCTTCCAGTTTGGGAAAAAAACGTTGGTATTTTAATTAAATACTAAATTAGTCGATTCAGTTTGAATTGTTATGTGATATGCAGAATAAGATACCCGAGATTTATCGAAATAATTCTTTACATTTTTTGGTTCTGAATAATCTCAATTTCAAGCAGGAACTGCAGCGTATTTGCCAAATCAGTTTGGAGAATGTCTCGATAATTTGTGTTAAAATTTGAAAGCATTTCCTTAGATCGAGATTCACACATTTCCTAGTACATATATTTCCTCTATATTCTCGTTTCTGAAATTTTTGATTCTCGCTGCTCATTTGTTCATCGGCGAATCGATTTCGGCGAGAAGAACACTCGCCCACCCCTCGATAAAATTTATGTTGTAACTCGATATCAGCTGCTCTCTTTGATGTCCATCATCTCCATCACAATCCCATACATGATTTCAACTTTATTGTTCTCGTTTGGAGTTTCTTTTTTTGGCGGACCACGTACATACATAGTTGCAAATCGAATTCGAATTCTGAACAAAAACTGGCCCGTTTTAGCATTCAATTCGGGAATAAATCCAATTTGTTGTTAGCTTGTCTGTCTAGAAACCCACTACTCGGTTTAACTTTGTTTTTGCGAACACTTTGTCGAGGTTAACACAATTCAAAATTGTTTCCCAAAATGGAAATATTCCCTATAGAATGACGACAAGCATAACTCGGTGATTTATAAATTAGATTTAGTTGATATCGCACGCACACCTGGCTGAATTTCTCACAAAGCTTAATCGATTAAGCATGTGACAGCAATTATGTGCATTTACCGTAATAAAATGGAATACACATTTTGAAGTACCTAAAATGATTTTGGCTATTCCATGACAACGATTGCCTCAATTCTCTCAATAAATCAGATTAAAGGGACATACGAATGACAATTATGAGAAACGCAAAAACGGAAAATCGAATTTAGATTTTATTGAATTTATTTCAAAAAATAATTTATATTCATATATGAGAAGAATGGTTTATTAGAGACACTTTATTGAAATTATTGATTATTTTCTTCTTCATCGGACCCAAACATTTATGAGTTTTTTTTCCTAAAAGTATAATGCAAGAGAATAGAAAATAAAAAATGTTAATATTCACTCATGTTTCTCATTTTTGTCGTTGTTAAAATAGAAAAAATTTGAAGATTTCGCAAGGGAATTGAATGAGATTCCTGAAACACCAAACATTTTTTGATTTTGTTTTGCATAAAACGCTTAATGGTGTTTGATTCGTGTTAGGTTTCGCATAAATTCCGCCGTTTCGCTTACAATGAACTTTCGGCATTCCTCAGAGGATTCATCGCCAATAACACACATCAAACCAGCCGGCTAAATTTTTGTCATCATACGCTCATTATTGCATTCAACAAAAAGAGTCCCTTTTTGCTCCACTTTTATTCTCATCATTTTTATAGTAGTACGAAAAAACAATGTATGTGTATCCTCATTTTTCTTTCGTCTATTCCACTTCACCACATATTCCAGAATTCTTCAAAAAACGTTTTTTTTTGTTTTATTTGTTGGCCAAAAAACGCAACAATTTTGCATAATTTATGTGCAAATGATTGAATGAGAATGAGACACAAAAAAAAATATTTTGATTTATTCAAGAAATTTAAAAATTTTCATTTATTCTAAGTGGGAATATGAACTGAATATTGGCTTGTCGAATTAACAACATACAGCGCTCATATCAACTCTAAACATTTAATATTTTATTTCCCATTTTTCGAAAAATCAAAAAATATATAAATATTACAAAGGCTGTTCGAAAATTCAAGATGGCTTTATAATATTTCGTGGAATTATGCAGATTTTTGAAGAAATAGCCAAAAATACTGGTTGATTTTTTAGCAATCTGTATAGGATTTTGCATCGAATTCTTGAGAATATCCAAAATGTCGTCGATCGACTCAACCACGACCGAACGTTTCCGACGGGTGGAATTTAGAAATTCTTTAAACTTATATTTTTTGAGAAATTTCAACCAATTAAAGCGGTTTGGCAATTAAAATCAAAATTTTTTTGAATTTTCTCAATAAATTTTTTATCTATATAAAAGACATTTCTAAAATTATTTAGTCTCAAGATTTTTTTCAGAAAAATCAAACAACATTGCAATTTCTTATAATATTTTTTATTCGATTTGGTTGAGGAGTTGAAGTCCCATTAAAATTGCGTCTGATGAGCTGTTTTAGAAGTCAATTTTCATAATTATTTGAGAATTTAATTTCCGTTATCCGAAAATAAGCAGACACTGATGATGAAAAACTCTTCATTTTTTCCATTTTAAAAGCAAATTCGCACCGGAAATTTGATATACATACACATACTCGGAATAGTTCAATGTCGTAATAAGTGAAAAATGAATATCAGGAAAACAAGAGACGGCGGGAGGCTAAAAATAAACATTTTTGAAACCAAACAATTTGAAACTTTTAATTATTTTAAATTAATAATGTCACATAAGCGTTGGTTTTCAATTTGATTAAAATTTGAAAAAAAAATAAGATGAATTGAATTGCAGGGGAAGTGAAACGGTCGAGTTTCCGGGCATTGCCGCGGAAGCCACGCCCACCTAAAAATGACATCGCCATCTGGGCTCAGTGTGGCCGAGCTCGCCGAGCACGTCCACAACAAAAACAACAACAACAACTATTCTTTGAGCTTGACGACATTACCGTCGGATTTAAGTGATATTCAACTATTATTGCTTCAAGAGCTTGGCGACAACTACACCGAGCTCGTTGAGATAATGGAGAATCAGCCAGAAAGGTGCACCAACTGCTTCATTTTTGTTTCAAATTTAATTAACAAAAAATGGGAACGCATTTCCTTGTTATCTAAATATCATAGATTTTCATCAGAATGCAAAATATTCTTGAAATATGAAAACTTTTCTATTTTTTACAAGTTTAAAACCTGTCAGGCTTAATTCAAAAATATGGGAAAACAAGTTTTCTGGTGTCTCTAATAGGACCCTTGAGAATTGGAACGACGTCAAAAACTCGTTTTTTATGCTATCAACTCATTTTTGGGTAAAATGTACGTTTTTCGAGATCTTTCAAATGTCTACTAATTATGTAGAAAACATTGAAACACGTGTCTCAATTTTCGCTCTTCTAATTAGAATGTCTCCAGTTTCAAACGGAAAATTGAAAATCTCGAAAATTCTTGTATGAGCGAAATCCGAAAAAAAAAAACACTTTTTACTGGATGACTGTTGAAAAATTGAAATTTCTCTTAATAATTAGCATATATTTAGTAGTTACCTAATCTCCCCAATGACAATATACTATTGGCATTTATCGTATAATTTCTCGTATTATGACGAAGGCAAAACTAATCCTCAAAGAATTGATAAGCGCAGAAATTTCCCCGATTTGATGGGAAGCTTTTGCTGCTTTTTTTTGTAACACAGAGGGATTTCGGAGATTTTAGTGCAGAAAAATCTGAAAAATAAACGATTTTAATACATATTTGCACCGATTTGTTGCTCTCCGTGTTTGGAAAAATAAACTCGGAATTGGGCAGCCCTCGGGCAGTTTTCTCACACCCAACATCATTTTCTCAACTCGAAAACCGATTCTTGAGAACTATTGAAAACAAAACCGCTTAGTTGTTATCTATTTTTGGAAATTATAAACAATTGGGTGAAACAAAAAAAAGTAGTACAAAACAGCCAACGAACGGCGAAACCATCAATCATTTTAGCCACTGAAATTTTTGCGTGGAGTATTTCTTGAATAAACAAATTCCGTTTTTTTTAAAGAAAATGAGAACGTTAATTATCTCATTTTCAGAACTCTTCTCCAGAATCTCTATTATTTCTATATGCCGTTTTGTGTGGTCGTCGGATTAACTGGAAATACAATGGTTTGGATTTTGATCAGGTATTTATTCTTGTCTTTTTGCTCTTATTTTTGTTTCTGTGGGGCAACCCATTCAATCGGAACAAAATTAGGCATTCAAAACTGGTCAGAAAAACACAATCGTTTGAGTGGAGACGGAAAAATATTTAAGATATTTCTCCTTCACATGGGACCAAGTGCAACGAACGATCGAATGAAAAGAGAGAGAGAGAGAGAGAGATTTTATTAAATATTTATAGAGAAATATGATTTTCAAATACATTTTCAACGTTTGATTCGAAGTTTCAAAATATGAGCAACTGCGAAACGAAGAACGCGGATTATATGTATAAGGGATTGTTTGCTCTTTTCGAATTTTTGATTTCTCTTGTTTTTTTTTGCCTCAATTTCCTCGCTATGTCAAGGGTCTTCGAATATTTTTAATGCTAAATTTAAAACAAGTCATTTCAGGAAAATGCTGAAAATTTTGACATAATTTAAAAATAGTCGAAAAAATTCTAGCAGAGTAGAAATATCTCGTGATTCACTTCAGAAGTAACCGTATGCTGAGCAAATTGCCGACGAATACGTATCTTCTTTGTCTGGCAGCGATGTCGTCGATATTCCTTCTCTCGCTGCTCATCTTCTGGATTGAAGAGGTCGTCAATGTGTAGTTCTATGTACGTGCATGCACTTTGTCCCACAAGTATTGTCATCACTGGCACTTCCCCCACGATTATTAATCGACATCCAAATCCTCATCTGACTTCATTTCGTTGCAGGACCTGTTCGAGAACTCGCCCCTTCGCAATTCCTATTACAGCTGCATTTTCAACACATTTCTCGCGCATGTCTGCGATTTCGCCTCTGTATGGCTCATTGTGTTGGTTGGATTCGAGCGGCTCATCCTACTCTATCGCAAAACTCGCGGGCTTACTGTAGAGCGTGCGAGGACCCAAATTGCATTCCTTCTGGGAGTTGCGATGCTGTTCAACGCGTGGATTTTATTTGTCGCTGGAATGGACAAAGATGGCCAATGCGACATTAAGGAAGACTATATTCGATTATACAATACGATGACAGTTCTTGAGGTGAACATCAAATATTTTCCTTTTCTCATTTTTCCAATTTTAGACATTTGTGTGTATGGCACTTCCATCGTTCATTATCTTCGTCTCCAATGTCTTAGTCATTGTGAAATTGAATCAACACGTTAGGTACGAATTTATATAGAATTCATCTGAATATATTCAAAGAACCGAATTTGCTTCAAATTTATTTTCGCAATCATTGAACCTAAAATCGAATAATTCATATTACTTATGAATGCGTCTGATTTTCAAAAAAATATTAGAGCTTCGAAAAAAATCAAAATTGATGGTTTTCAATAGAAATCAAAAATTTCCAGACGAAATCCCGGATCACCAGCAGTCTCGTTTAACACTGCCGATGTCGTTCTGACCACACAAACGTCAGCTCCGAGCAATACTCTAAAGAGCTATAGCAGACTGTCTACGCGATTCTCCATTGAAGTCGAAAAAACTCCGAAAAAGAAGAAGAAGGGAATACGGTACACTGACATCCAATTAACCAGGTCGCTTTTGGTTGTCACCTGGGCGTTTATAATGTTGAATCTTCCCAACTACGTCTATCGCATCACTAGCATTCTGTTCGGTGTTTCCGATCAAGTGAGTCCATTCTCCTCGCCCCAAATTGATTTTATTTCGAATTTGTTTAGACCGAGGCAATGCAGAAAATGTCTCTAATCGCACACGTCTTCCTATATACTCATCATGCATTTCTTTTCTATTTATACATTTTCTACTCTCCGCAAATGAAGCGACGACTCAAACCGACGGCGATGAAACTGCTCGAATGCTACTGTTTCAAGCCACCCGGTGATTATACGGATCATACATGAGCCGGTCTCAAATCCCCCACAATACATATTCTAAATTATAATTGTTCAGCGAATTTCTTGTCCAATTTGTGATAATTAAAATATACTGATATTGATAATTTTTAATTGAAAAATAATAAAAATACATACATATTGAAAAAAAAATCAATAACTCGAGTGGTTATTATGTAAATTATTTAATATTATGGCGTTTTTCATGAGTGTTTGCTCTTATGCGTTTTCAATTGACCTTTTTTGAATGAAAAAACGGGAATTGTGAAAGCTTTTTTTGGCAAAAATTCTGGAGTAAAATTTCTAGAATTTAAGAATTTGGAACGGTGAAAATTGTTCATTTAGTAGTAGAATTGCCTTCTATTTGTACTCCACACGAAGAAGGTGTTACTTCAATTTTGCACGGCCTGCATTTTTTTTAAAGTCTATCGTTCATTTTTCGTATTGCATTGCACCAACACTTTTTAGCAAATCAAGCCTTCATGAGGGTCCTCTTCAAAATTATTTCGTTCGTATTCTTTTAAAGCTTTAAACCAACGGCGAACTGTTCGTTTATCGAATAGTTTTCGAAAGATACCAGCGTTCGTCAATATTCGGCGTTTCTTCATTTCGCCTTCTATTTCCTATCACCCGTTGTCTTGTCGAAGTAAACACTGTTCACCTTTGCCGTCGGCTCGTTTGTTTGCTTATCGTCGGCGTCTCTCGTGCTCTACGAGCTTCTCGCCAGGTCGCACAGGTCATTTGCATACGTGTTTGACCGTGCTGACCATTGCTTCAGCGTTTTTCTTATTTCCTTCCAAATGCTCGCGGTTTTCCTGCTATTCGGCTGGCTATCCGCCGGTTTAGCATCAAATTCTCCGCTGGTTTCGACGACTTATGGACCAATTCGTGGATTTGAGCACATTTCATCGGAAACTGGAGCGAAATATCACGTTTTCTTAGGAATTCGCTATGCGAATCCTCCTGATCACATCTACAGATTTCAGGTTTTTGAAATGCACGAACCGATTTAAAAAAAAAATTCATTTATAGAAACCCGATCCTGTTGAAAAATGGACCCATTTACAACACGATGCTACTCATTTTAGGGCTTCCTGTATTCCTTCTCTTCGCTCTGAACTTGAAGAAAACGTAAACTACAGCGAAGACTGTCTATTTTTGAATATTGTGACTCCACCCGACGCGGTATTTTCCATTAAAAAAATTCAATCAAATCAAATTTTTATTTTATAGCGAGAAAAAAAGAAGTTACCTGTGATTGTCTTCATTCATGGCGGCGGTTTTCAATTTGGCGACAGTTCAATGATTGGCTACGAGCGCGCCGCTGACCATTTTGTTTCGAAAGATATTATTTTCGTATCGATCCAATATCGATTAGGACCACTCGGTAAGTTAAAAAAAAAGGTATCATGGAGGTATGGGGAATTGAACCCCAGCCCTCTCCCATGCTAAGGGAGCGCTCTACCACTGAGCTATACCCCCAGCTGAGAAGACTTGTTTCAAATGACGTCTCATTGCAGGCTTCTTCACAACTGGAGACGCAGAGATACCGGGCAACATGGGCATTTGGGATCAGACGCTCGCATTGCAATTCCTCCACCATGTTCTCGCTGATTTCGGAGGAGACGCCGATAGAATCACCGTGGCCGGACATTCGGCGGGTTCTGCAAGTGTCTCGGCACTCTTGTATTCACCACATTCCGACCGTAATTGAGAATTTCAGGCGATAATTAAAACCCTCCTATTTTTTAGATTTGTTCGCTCAAGCAATTCAGATGTCGGGATCGATTTTCAGTGAAAATAATTTGAGTCAAGATGTTGTTGAAGGTTGTTATTTAAATCGAAAATTTAATAATTTTGAAATGTGAAATTGAAGACAGTAAAGAGCTGGCAAAAGCCGCCGGTTGTATTCAAGAAGATACGAAAGAGATTCGAGAGTGCATGGAATCGAGAACCGTTGACGAAATTCTTGACGCGATGGAGAAAATTGTAATTAATTAACTTTTTTAATTTTTTTAAATAATCGTATAATAACTTGAGGGGGAACTACTTCCTGGACCGCGCAACAAAAAGTTCCACCCATACTTTGACAAGGACTTTTTCCCATACGATGTAATGAGATTGAATGAAAAAGAAAATTCAAAATTTGGAATTTTCAGATTGAGAAAATGTCGAAGAAAGCTCCTAAAAAACGAACAATGCAAGGATTAGTTTCTCTCGAAAGTGGATCAAGTGTGCTCTACCCAGTACGTTTGGCGAAATTGCTTGGAGTGCCAAAGGAAAGCTGGAACACGTATGACAAGGATAACTTGGTTGATTTTATAAGGGATCAAGGTATTTTTTATGCGGAATCTTCTTCAAATATAAATCAATGTATAGTTGCTGTCGAAAAAGATTTCGGAGGGCACGCTACAGAGCTTTCAAAAATTGTTGAGCACTTCTACCTAAGCGGGCCGCTTACTGGAAACTCGAGTTTTTACATGAATGCTTATGCATTGGTAGGATAATCTTAAAAAATAATCATTTTGAACTATGTGTGTCTTTAGCTTCTCAGTGATCTTCAATTCAATATTCCAACTCTGCATGAGGTCGAACTCAAAAGACTCAACGGATGGGAAACGTACTTCTACGTGATTGATTATGAGAGTGAGACTACCAGAGATCCTGCTCATCCAATTCGAGGAAAATCTTTAAAAAGTGAATTAAAAATCGAAATTTTGGATTTTAGGACCATTCCATGGCGATGAACTCCGTTTTCTTTTCAATTACGCGGGACTTGATACCGTTCCTTTTAATGAGAAAGACAAGATAGTTGAAGAATTTTTGGTGAATTCGATTGCCAACTTTGTTGCTGGAGGGTAAGTGTTTCCTTAAGCTGTAAAAATAATAATTTTGAACTATGCATATATAAGTTGTAATGCCGAAAAAATCTAAAAAAGATTTTTCTTTTTCGCTGCATTGAAATTTCTCTCGGATCAAATAAGATTAACTCAACTCAAATGTGAAAAATGAATATGAACTTGTTAAAAACAACGTTTCAGAAACCCTAGCATTCCCAATGTTCGTTGGGAACCTGTGAGCAAGTCAAAACCATTCGCTAACCTGCTTATAAATGAGTCACCAAAGGTACACTTTACTAAAAGCATTGATGAGTCGGCTTGGTTTCAGATGCAGCAGCAATTCCGAGCAGATGCTTATGAATTGTGGCAACACGAGATTGCGAAACTCGTCGGCGCTGATTTAATGAAGAAACGTCTTCCGGCCTCAAAGGCGACGTTCCGACACACCGAACTGTGACTAGTGAAACTCGCGGAACAACTCGCGCATTCTCGTCGACCTGCATACCAATTCTATTCTGACAGACTCAGAAAGACCGGCACACTCAGATATCATTTGGGTCTTAGCTATACGTGATACTCATTTCTTGAATATTTCAATTCTCTTCTTATTTTTCGTTTACGGTTAAAAATGCCTATGTTTGAAAATAAATAATATAGCTTGATGTTGATTTTAGGGCCCATGGGAAGAGGATTTTTCTGAACATTAACAAGCACTGAAAAGAAAAACTATGGAAAAATACAAAAAATTACGGAAAACAAAGAAAATATGACTAAATTTTGAAAAACGAAAGCAACTGCGTGTCGCAAACACGGCACGGTAATTTGCACATTTACCAACCGTACCACGCGAATTTAATTCAAAAATAGTGAAACGCAGACGTGTGTCATTTTGTAATCTACTGTGCGATTTTGGTCAGACATTAAACTTTGTCATTCCTTTTCAGACTGCTACAGATATGTATTCGGTTACTAGAGGTTTCACATACATATGTGCTATAAAATATATTAAAAAAAAACAGCGGTCATCATCATTAAAAAAATAACAAAAAGAAGCTGGACACCGACTATATGCATTGTCGAACATGTTTATGAAAAAAAGTCCAGACAAACATGATTTGATTTTTGATCAATCTTGACAATTTCTGTCCAGTTTTGATCAACACACGTTATCTTCTTCTTCTCGTTTATCTTCAACTTCCTACTAAAATCTTTATCATTTCGGGTTGTTCTTTTATTTTTTTCAATTCGAAAATGGTCGTCATGCATTTTCTCAGCCTATTTTTCGTAATTATTTTTCAATTTTCAACTACTTTTGCCTGTAATTGCGTGGATTTTCAATCTGAGAAACAAGGATACTGTTCAGCTCCATGGAGTAATTAACCAGATTTAATTAGTCATCGATTATCGTTTTTTATTTCAGTATCCCAGGTAAAAGTGTTATCAAAAGAAGAGGATGATTTGGGACTAATGGTTTCGTATAAAGTTGAGCACATCAAACTGATAAAGGCCCCGAAAGACATTAAGGAGCTACCGAATATTCTGAATTCGGCGACAGAAGAAAGCGCTTGTGGACAGACACATTTCAAGATAGGCAAAAAGTATATCTTCGCTGGTAATTTTTATACTTTTATTAATTCAAAAATTTTCTTATTTAAGGCTCTTCATTAAGCAATTCATCAATATTTATTTCATTCTGTGATTGGAGAGTTCCTTTGAAATATTACGACATTAAAACGGTATTTCATTTTTGGACAAATTCATATAATATGCATGGTTTTCAACGGTTTATTTCCAGCTGGAGCTCAATGCCGATTGGGACAAATTTGTGAAATCCGTCGGAGAATGCGCAAAGAAATCAAACGTTTAAAAGAAAACTTGTATTAATTCACAAAATTCAATATTTAAAAAAATACAATGGCATAAATTTATATTTATTATTGATCAAGTTAGTGTGGCAACTGATTACAATTTCTTTGGAATGTAGAAGATTACTGGTCTTGTCTGGATGATATTGTTTCGGGAACACTGTGCGGCATTGATAAACGTCTGAAAGTGGAAAAAAAAACAATAATGTTTGTTTACTCGTATTTTCATACTGTGTGATTATTGGTCATCGTACCATGACGCTCATGGACATGTCCGAACACGTGGAACCTGAAAATAGAAAAGTTGACGTCATCAGAAGGTTGTTAGCTATTTTTATTTTTAAATAATAATATTATTAAAAATAATAGGCGGAATTCTTTTTACTCAAATTAAAAATTATTAACCTTGGCTTAATCCTTTCAACGACATACAACAGATCCTTGCATCCCCATCTCTCGTCTCCAAACTGATCCAAGTATCCTAAAATGGCAATTGGATTATTGCAATGAATTTTGTTGTACCCAATGGTGGAGTATGTGTGATGAGCACATCGGTGTCATTTGGCACCAATTTCCAGCATTCCGCCAATTCGGTGGCGCGTGTTCGATAGAATGGGAAGCCCATGAGGGGATGATACGAGGATCCGTAGAATTTGACACCATCGATCTGCAATCGAGATAAATACCACAAAAATAAGAAACGAGTCCTTCGGGACCCTTCGAAAAGAATGACGTATATCGATGATTTATGGTGCGGAACAATGAAAGCAAAAATATAATCAAATGAATACAACCACCTACCACAATTTCTTTATTTTGCAGATAGGTGACGTTGGTCAGCAATTCGTACCCTCGTTCTGTGCCTACGCCCACATCTTGCGGATTCCTGAATTAAAAAAAAGAACAATTATCGAATTGGCTGCTCGTTTCATTTACCTTTGCTCTTTTCTCTCATTTTCATCGAATCCGAGCTCATGGTTGCCGGCAACAACGAGTTTGTACTTATGCGGTAAATTCGCCATTTGCTCATTGAATTTGATGAGCTCGTCGCGATTTCCGTTGTTCGTGAAATCGCCGGCATGAATAAGCACATCGCCATCGGGAATTTCCTTGAAACACTTTTAAGATCGACAGATGCGCTCTTCGTTGAAACGAATTGTACCTCAACTTTGCCGAGTTGCTCATGAGTGTCTGATATGCATACCACTTTCAAATATGGCACATCCGGAGGCGAATTGATTTCCCTGAAATTAAACTTGAATTTTGATATCCAAATAAACCATTTCTCACCATTTTTCATTTTTTTCGATTGGAATCTGCACTCGCGAATCTTTGAGACTTTCCCAAAGATCATTTTCAGCGTGAGGATCGATGCGCTTCTTTTGGGCCTCCATGCACTGAATCAACCAACTAAAATATTTTTCATTTTTTGAACATTTTACATTTTATTATCGATTGGCTTCACTAATTTTATAATATCAATTTGAAAATGTAATTAGCTAACTGTAAAAAGAACTTTAATGCCCTCAATTTGGATGTTGAAAGGTCTCACCAAAGAAATATAAATAATTGTGGGGTTCCCATCGGTGAATTCGCGGTGGCCAGCAAATACAAATGTCTTATTCTCGAATTAGACGAAATCGAGATAGAGAGAGAGAGAAAAAGGCGTGCTTGTGAGGGAAATGTGATGGAAATGGCGGCAGATTCGACGAGGAAATAGTCCCCAAATTTTTTTTCGATGGGTCCCGTGGGGGAAAACGCCGCGCGCGATTGGCTGGGCCAGGCTCATGCTCAATTTGAGAGATTGCGATTGATGTTTGAGATCAGAAAACAACATTAAAACGCCCAAAACAAAGGTAAATAATAATTCAAATTTTTGAGCCATCAAAGTGTGCCGAAAATTGTTTAAATTTTTACACTCTCAAATTTGTCTATCATTTGTGAAAAGTGTTCGCGAAAAGACTTCACGTAAATTTTAGCGACATACGTAAAAACTTACTCAAATCACAATAATACCACCCTTCATTCCTAACCTTCCTGTATTTGTCTTCTTCTTTTTTTCAATTTCTATGGCATTGTCGTACGGATCAGAAAGTGTCTTGTGGTCACTATTAATCCATCTCATTTTTTAATTATTAAGTATGATGTGGTTGAAAATTTTTAACAGTTCCTTCTTTTGAAAAGTGAGAGAAACAATTTTAATAATAGGAAACATGATATTGGAAAGTGAAAAAATATTAAAACTAGTTAAAAATAGGGTTTCTGCGACTTTGAAACAGTTGGATTTTTTTCTAAAATCTTTTGGATTTTTTTCTAAAATATATATATATATATATATATATATATATGCATTCCTTTGCATATCATTGGTTCTCATATATACCCTTACAATGTTGTATTTTTAATTCGCTACATGTGACGAATGATTCGAAAAGACTTTCAAAAAGGCATTAAAGATTTATTCGACGACATGTGGCATAATCCAGACTGAATGCAAGGAATTATGCTCATCTGAATAGAAAAATGATTGCTAGGTAATCCGGTGTGATATTGAAGGAAATACAAAATGAATTTGTCGAATGTTTGCTTCGAAAATATGATTTTCGTCATATAGACCATAATTTTTGCGTAATTGGGTTTTGTAATCGCAAATTGCTCGCAAAACTAGAATAGAAATGTAGCGGTGAATAGGGGTATTTGAACAATTCATGCAATCATTTAAATTATGCAAACATATCGATGAATGTAGTAAATTTGTACTGAAAGAAAGAAATTTCAGAAATGTTTCATGAATTTTAATTAAAATAATGAGTCACCCAGAAAGTGCAAACAAAAAATGAAAGCTTTTATTAAATGCCTGAACAAACACATCGAGAACACAAAAGTTTTCCTTATTCGAATAATTTATTATTCATTTCAATTTTATAAAATGGTTATTAATTTGAATTTGAGAAATCGTACTAGTTTTTTAAACATCAGCGCAGTCTCGTGTTTTTTTTTTTCGATGTAAACTAGGAATCGAAAAAAATAATAGACGAATAAGCGGAAAATGAGGCGTCAACTTACTTTGAATACATGACGAGTAGCTCTCTAATTAGGAGAAGCTCTCGTGAATGCTTGAGCGCTGCGCAAGTCGAAAGTTGGAAATAAGCGAGAACGGGGCGGTACGTTTTGTGGTCGGCAAGACGATTAATTAGCCGTTGAATTCATGCGGGTTTCAAAAGATTTATGCCTTATAGTTAGGAGATAAATACCGCAGATTAAGTACGTATCAGGTGGGATGCGAATGGAACAATTTTCGAGATATGTAAGTGCAATATATCCACATTACTTTGGGATTCTTTGATGTTTAAATATCGTAGAAAGTTTGATGACGAATCAATTTATGTGCGAAAAACTAAGCCCGAGAGTAACGCGAGACATATAATTATGCGGAGACAACATTTCAATTTTTCCGCTGGTTGTGGCCTATTTATTATGCTAAACCCTCAACAAGATCGATAAGAAAACGGGAAAAAGTCCAATATTTGATAACAGTGGCTAAAAATAGTATTTCCACGACATTAATCTTCTATAGAAAAATTGTGAGTTTGAAATATGCAAATCGAGGGGAGCAGTTGCTAAATATGCAAATCGGTGACTGCCTGGTTGGCTGGCCAATGAATGTCAAGAGCATCGTCTCGCATTGAATAATGAAAAAAATCGAAGAAGGCAATCCAACGGGTATCCTTGAAAACGAAACAAATTCGCAATGGTAATTACGAAATGTTTATTCAGCACAAAATGTCTAGCATATTCCAGCTAATAGACATATACTTATTTTAGACTGTTTCAGACGGTCCTTCGCTCTCTTCTTCCAATTCTCCTGGATTAAACGGTTGACGACGTAGAATTGTTGGACGAATTGAATGGATTGTCGATTGAATCGTTGACTAAATATGCTATTATTATTTCGGCTTCGTTTTTGTTTCCCATTTCTCACCTGCTCATCTGCTTCTGGAACTACACTCAACTTCTTATCACTCGATCTTCTTGTCGGAAGCGGCGGAATTTTTTCGATTTTCTCGGCCGATACCACATTTTTAAGGAACTCCTGAAACGAAATTTAAAATTGGGAAATTACAAGCTAAAAAGCTTACATGACTTATGTTCGCTTCTTCGCATTTTGCAATAAGTTCGTTCGAGTCGTTTGACGGACAATATCTTTCTTTTCTGAAATATCATATTGCAAATAATAAAGCGCACAACAAACCTTCCAGAAAGGAGATTAACCATTGCATCCGGGCAAATTGCCATCGAAAGAAGCCACGCGAAAAACATCAAACAACAAAGAATGACAATTGCAATAATTGCCAGCAATTCATTCATTCTGAACAAATTTCGAATCGAAATGGTATTAAAATTATTGAAAAAATGTTGTAATCAATGCATTATCATTTGTTTTATCAAATAAGTAACTTTATCATTATTCTGAATTTATATGTTTTCGTCTGTAGAATTTCAAGCTTCGAGTATCGAACAAAAATATGACAAATTTGCAAAAAATGATGAAACCTAGAAAACTAATAAATAAACTTTATAATCCAAATAGAATCGTGAGCAACAAATAAATAAATGGTTTATGAGCAATTCGAATTGGCCAATGTTCATTAACTCATACTTTTTGACTTGACTCATGATTTTTGACTCATAAAAATTGTATCATGATTTTTTATTCTTTGACTCATGATTTTTGACTAGTGATTTTTGACTAATTTTTTTTTTGACTAACAATTTTTGAATAATGATTTTCTGAATTTTTTTTAGTTGAAATTCCTGAAGTTTTTTCAGTATTCAATTCTGTTTTTTTTTGGTCAATATTGATGGGTAAGAAGCTGAAGGGTGGGAGGAATTGGGGGACAGATTATTACTGAAAGGAAAAAAGTTCTTTTAACTTCTGTAAGCATAAAAAATTGTTTTTTTGGCATTTCATCGCTTATCGATTTCAATGAGAAGCTTAATCCCAGCTAAGCGGATCCACCGAAGGAATCGACTGTAACATTAAACGAATATCCGTAGTGGGCCAAATGGTATGTATGATTTGATATTTTTAGTAGTCTCCGTTAGTTTAATGAAAACAACTAAACACAGTTTTTATTCGCTATCATGTATTATTTAGCGTGAATAAAGGAGGGAAATGGATGGAATAACGCGATAAGTGATTTTTTATTAATTTATTTTGCAAATTATTTTAGCAAAAATAACACATTGTTATACTTTGAGAAGTTTTTTGAAGGCTGTTTTGTTAGAAGTACCATTTTGATAAAGGTTTAACGGTATAATGATCTATCGAAAATTTCAATGATTGATTAATTTTAAAAGTTTTTAATAATTTTTTTGAATATACCGTTTTTCCTGAATTTTGATGAGAAATCGAAAATTATGCCGTTTTAAAACAGGCCTGACCGAATAAGCTAAAATAATTTGCAAAATAAATTAATAAAAAATCACTTATCGCGTTATTCCATCCATTTCCCTCCTTTATTCACGCTAAATAATACATGATAGCGAATAAAAACTGTGTTTAGTTGTTTTCATTAAACTAACGGAGACTACTAAAAATATCAAATCATACATATCGTTTGGCCTACTACGGATATTCGTTTAATGTTACAGTCGATTCCTTCGGTGGATCCGCTTAACTGGGCCTAAGCTTCTCTTTGAAAAAAAAACAATTTTTTATGCTTACAGAAGTTAAAAGAACTTTTTTCCTTTCAGTAATAATCTGTCCCCCAATTCCTCCCACCCTTCAGCTTCTTACCCATCAATATTGGCCAAAAAAAAAACAGAATTGAATATGAAAAAACTGCAGGAATTTCAACTAAAAAAAATTCAGAAAATCATTAGTCAAAAATTGTTAGTCAAAAAAAATTAGTCAAAAATCATGAGTCAAAGAATAAAAAATCATGATACAATTTTTATGAGTCAAAAATCATGAGTCAAGTCAAAAAGTATGAGTCAATGAACATTGGCCATTCGAATTGTTGACTTGTGCGGTGAAAATGTGACTGGCAACAGCTGATTCGAAAATAACGAGCACTTTTTGCTTGAACGGTTCGATGTCAGAGTAATTTTCGATATGAGAACTTCGCTTTCCAAATGTTTTTTTAGAGGTGTTTTTTCTACGCCAGATGTGTTCACTTTTGCAATTACATATAAACTATGAAAAAAAATAGGATAACTTTGCTATATTCTTATAATGATTGCAAATGTTCCAACAAGAAATAAACCGAAATACGATTAAAAATCGTTTGTTTAGTTTGTGCTAAGAACGGCGAACGAAAACAAAAAGCAATACGACGGCGAAATTCATCTTCATCGATTCATGCTTTGCAAGTCTAAGCTCTCCTCGGCTCTCGTACTATTTCAAAATGTCATGCTTACTTGAAAATATTGCAAAATTCATTCGATAAAACATAACAAATTTGGGAATATATTAACATTTGAAAATTAATCAAGGAAGTAAAATGTTATTGAAAAAAATGGGGCACTTCAAAAATTGAATTAACGCAAAAAAAAAACTCGTTCTCACATAATTCCTCGTTTGTTGACCACAACCTCGTGTCTGAAAATTTTGAGTGAAAATTTATTACGATTTTTCTTCAAAGAAATAAATCAGACTAGAAACTAGAAATGATTTTCCGCTTCAAATTAACTAAAAACAACCTACCCATCAGGGAATCTCTTCTTTAAGAAACTGAAACCATGCTCATTCTTGGCAAGACAGTAAATGTATTCAGGTCTACATCCTCGTGTCAGACGATTAACTAATCGATCATCGTGTGTAATAATAACCATCGGAAAATTTGAAGATAAAAAAAAGTGGAACTAAATTCTTACCTGCATTTGCCTCCCTCTTATTTGACCGTTTTCATCAACTGCTTGTCGAGCTTCAATCAATTCAACAAGAACATCAGCCATTCCTTCCACTTTTCCATCATCAAGATTTGTCGTTGGTTCATCAAGGGCAATCATAGAGCACAATCCACCAAATACTTCAGCAAGAGCAATTCGGATTATCAAAGAGGCGAGCATCTGTGTGTGGGTAAATCGCGAATGAATTTGTTCCTAATTAAAACAGGTTCAATTACCTTCTGGCCAGCACTGCATCTTCCTCTCATATCGATTTCCTTTCCACCTTCCTGAACCATTAGAACAGTGTAATCGTATGCTCGATTCTTGGCACTGCTTTCATTTGTATTCGATCGAATTCGAATAGTTTCAATATCAGTCGAATTGTATACTCTTCTCCACAATTCATCGATAATCTCATTGATTGCTGTCATTTTCTCCTGGTGAAATTTCAAAAGCGAATCATCGAAACATTTTCGATATTTCTCGAGGTCCTATAATTGAATTAACTTAAAATATCGAACAAATTTCTAACTTTAATCGTTTCTTCAATAATTTTCTGTTCGAGAACGACATTCCGATAATTATTTTCGGCATTAACAATATCAAGCGTCATGAGTTTTTTGCTGGACTCGGTGAGCTAAAATAAAGATTATAACTCATATCGATTGACGTTTTATACTTCATACCCTCAAATCATTTTCACCAAGAACAGCACTGATTCTTGTAAATTCTTTTCCAATCAAATCCAAATCCTGATTTATTTTTCTTAAAGAATGAGTCGCTTCTTTAAGTGTTTGCCTATTCGCCCCAAGTCGACGCAAAGTATCCAATTCATCTTCTAATTCTGTCATCTTCTTCTCAATCAGCAATCGGGTTAACTGATCTTGAAGCGTTCGAAGTTTTGATTGCTGAAATAAATGTATTTAAAATTTATATCCAATGGTTTTCTTCGGATAACCGATCCGTCGATATTCGAAACTTTCAATTCCAACTGAATTTTACGATTATTAAAATCTTCAATCTGCTGATTGATATTTCGAAGATAGTCTCTCTTCAATGTCAGTTCGTTTGCCGTTGTTGTCAGCATTTCAAGACGTTCATTTAATTGCATCATTGTTTGGTGTTTCCGTTTGAGTTCTTAAATTTCAGACCTATTTTCATACGAACCAATCTAAGTACCATTCATCTCAGTCATCATTTTGGTTTCCTCCTGCCTCAATTCATCATTTATTTGAGTTCTCTCCATAGTAACTGCTTCAAGCTTTGATTTCGCTATGGGATATTCCCTTCGATATCGAGATATATCTTCTTCGCATTCAGATAGCTCGATGTTTTTTTGTTTGATCTCCAATTTGTATTATATACACAAATATTTGCAATTATATAATCATGAGCTACCGTATCTGATATATGAGCTGCTTGAGCTGAAGATTCACCCAAAGATACGCGTTGTTCTCGAATTTTATTTAGCTGAATATTATTAAAAACAAATAAAAACGCATAAGATTATAAATTACCTCAGCTCTTAAGCTATTCTTATGGTTTGCCGCTTTCTGAATTTCATCGACTTGTCGAGCAAAATCACGAACCACTGTCTCCTGTTGCACACACTTCTTCTTCAATTCTGCGTAACTTTCATTATCCGAACGGGATGTGAGGCTTCTCTTAAGCTTGGACAACTCCTTTTCAAGATGTTGAATCGTTTCAAACAACGAATCCATAATTCCGACGTCCTTCTTAAATATTATTTTTTTCAGAGTTAATGCTCAAAAAATTAACCTGAAGAGCAGTAACGTATTCCATATTTTTCGATAGTTCTTTTTGTCCTTCAAGCTTTTCTTTTACTATATCTTCGCTTGCTTCCAATTTGTTTTTAGCAATTTCCAACTTATTTTCCACATCTTTCAAATCAACCCTCATTTTTCTACAAATAATATATGCCATTCGTATAATACATATCGATTATCTTACTTCAACTCACATCCCAAAACGTCAGCTTTTGCGAGTTTAGCTTCCTGTTCCTCACTTTTTAAAACCAATTTTTCGAGATTTTCTTGTTCATTTGGAAAACTTATTGAAACGTCATGAAGTTTCTGTGAGAACGAGCTCGTTTCCGATTTTGAAGGGAATTTTCGCTCGCACAGTGGACAACATGATTTCTCATTCACTTCTTCAATCCAAGAATCGTAAAGAACCTAGAAAGTCAAACAATTTAAGCATAAAAATTGATGTTCAAATAGTACGATTTTTGCGTTGATTGGCTCCAATTTCTTTCTGGCCTTTTTCAGCTGAATTCTCACTTCCTTCAGGCGTTTTGAAATCTCTTCAGGTTCACAAGCAGATTCCTGAACAAAACATATGTTAATTTACATGGTTTGTTTAAAAAAGTAAATACCTCAAAAATCTGTTCTTCCAACACAAGAATCTTAGCATTAAGCTTCTGCTCTTCATCCATGAGATGTTTCACATTTGTCTTACTCTCTTGAGCAGAAAGTTGAGCATTTTTCAATTGGTTTTCAACAAAATTGAGACGAGATCGGATTTCTTCACTGATTTGTGATACACAATTTCTGAATACAAAATTCCCTATAAACTGGTAACATTTGAAGAACCAACGTCCACGGCGGTAGCGGTTTTTCTGCGTCACCATAAAGCGCATCCCAATTCGATTCATGTCTTTTCGAGAGTTGTTCAAATCTGGATTTAAAATTGGCTTTTTTTGTAGATTAAACAATTATTTCTACTTTTCTTTATTAATTTTCAATTCGCTGAGCTTCTTCTCAAAATCTTTTTCGATTTCTGCAAACTCTTCCGCTTTTCCGCATTTCTCAACGAGTTCGTCCAAAATATTTTGCTCATTATCTCGTTTTTTGATCAATTCATTGTCATCCACTTCTGGCAATTTCGCTATTTCTTTCTCGATCTGCGCCATTTTTGCCGAGTACATTTCCATTCTAAAAATTACCGAACAGAATTTTGTAACAATAGCGCGTTGGTATACTTTGAAGACGCCCCTTCACAGCTTTTTAGTTTGTTCTTCATATTTTCAATCAAGTTTTCCAATTTTTCCATCTCCTTTTCACCATTCTTTATCGCAAATTCAATTTCTGTGACTTGTCTTTGAGCTTTATCAACTTTCTCTTGAATAGAATCAGCATATTCGGTTCCAGACTTCTGAAAAAATTCTCTTTGACCATTGAATGGTAATTTTAACTTTCCAGAATCTCAGCCAACTGCAATTGTTTCTCATCAATTGCTAATTGAAGAGCCTCAATGAATAATGTATCTGAATTGATGTTGAGCTCAGAACGAAGTTGCTCCTCCATTTTATTGATTTCCTCGACAATTGAATCACGGTGCTTAAAATTAAGTTTTTTTTTGGTTAAAACATTCACAATACTTTTGCGTCAGCCATCATTTGTGAAATTAGATCCTCTAGTTTCCGTTTCTCATTGGTGATCCTGTGCAGATTTTGAACAATTCTATCGATTTCAACTTTACAATTCTGCCGCTCAGCTTCAATACTGCGAACTTGTCCATCATTCTCAATCTTAATTACACATCCGTTTCAAATAGCTAATTAAAGAATAACGAAAAGAACCTCTTGAATCTCATTTCTCAGTTGTTCTTCTGCTCCATGATATGACGGAACACGCAAAACTTGAAGGTTTGAAGCTGCAGTTTTCAGTTCAAACTCCTTTTGTTCTATGATATCAGCAATGTAAAAAATAATATCTAATCGTCTTACCATACTGTTTTAGTGTTTTCTCAATATGACTTATTTGCTTCTCCAACTGAGCTTTTTCATTAATCAGCTGAGTCTGCATTTGTGTCATTTCATCCAACTTCGCGCGCATTTCGTTTTTCTTTTCCGTACATTCATCAAAAACCTTTTTCGCTTCATATTTTATTTTTATCATATCTTCACATCGACGACGACGTTCCAGAATCACCAACTTGTCTTTTTTCTAAAATAAGTAGACTACAACAATATCAAAAATGTATGGCACGTACATATCCAGTAACCATTTTTCTCATATGATCTTGAGCAGTTACAAATTTTGTTAACTCAAAAATTTCATCAAATTTCTTTTTGAGTTCCTTTGGTTCACTTAAAGGCCATGTCGATTCCTCTTGATGACAGAAAATGACATAATTCAAAATTGCTTTTGGAACACCAAGATGATTAAGCATCTAAAATTATTAAGAATAAATAAATGTTTTTTTAATACCAGTAATATCCAACCACTCTGTCAAAATCGACGGCTTTACTCGAAATTGATCGTTCAGTGCCATCTGGGTGCTTAATACTGAGAGTGAACTCATCTTTTCCATAAGTAGATTTACTATTCTGAACAAATTAATGTTATATTATTTTTCTAAAAAGCAAAGCGGTTGTACTACTAAAATTTTACTTTTAATGACGCGGTCATCCTCCGAACAGCAGTACATTTTCTTCTTTTCACATCTAGAAATTCCAGAGTGATGCTTGCATCGACACGCGTTTTTTGAGCCATCTAAAATACATATAATTTTCAAACATTACGGTTACAGTACTATGCAAGATTTTGGAAAAAATTGGCTTTTCGCCCAATCTTCAGAAAATCATAACAGATACAATTATACCTCAATACTCTGCACAAATGTCGAATAATTTCCAAGCGGTAATACACCAGTCGTTATATAATTCATAGCCTCAATAATTGTCTGTAATCGTGCAATAGATCATAAAAACGTAATGTTGAAGGTTGTAGTACAGTTTTTCCAGTCCCATTCGGTCCCGCAATTAATGTGCAAGGCTTTAAGAATTCAATATAATGTGCATTGCTCTCGTCATCGCCAACACTGCGAATTCCGCGAATTTTTAGCTGAAATATTTTTCTTTTGATATAAAATTAATAATTACTTACGCGTAAAAACTCAGCCATTTCTCATATTAGGTTTACTTTCTGCTAAAAAAATTTCATCTTGTTCAGATTGAAACGAACAATATATAATGGCATTCAAGCATATACCAGGTTAAAATGGGTGCTTAGTTTTTAATAAGAACTTTATTGATGTAGTAAATACTGTATTTAATAAAATATTTAATTAAATTGAAATTTGGTTTATATATTATTATAAAAGTTGTTTAACACCATCCAATGGCAAATAATGAATTCCTTTGTATCCATTTTTCTCGTTTTCCAAATTGTTGATGATAAATTCGTATATCTTCAGAAACTCCGTTGCAGTTCGGTTACGAATGGCTTCTCTGAAATTCAACACAAAGTTATAATATTGCATTTAAATAAAACCTTTCATTTTCAGCCAAAATCTTTTCGCATAAGTCGAAATCATGGGCACTGGCATCAGAATTGAGAAAATGGGTGAATTCCACGATTGCGGCCGAAACTGTGAATGGTTGCAATCCAGAAAACTCTGGCATTTTTCCCGAATTGTCAAAATCCTGCATTTTCTTGTAAATTTCAAAAAGTCCGGAAGAAGAAAGAATTTGAGATGCTTTCATAGATACAAGAACATCGGAGTTACTCTCAATCTGAAAAAAAAACAAAATTAATAAAAAGGGGTGGGCAACTTTAGAAAGTATAAAAACATCATAGAATTAATAAGAAATGGAAGAAATCAAGAATCAGAAAATTTATACGCTATTTGTTTGCGAAGAAAAACGAGTGCTTTAAAATTAAAACTCGAAAATCACCATTGCGTCAATCATTTCCAGTCTGTCAGCAATTTCAGGATGCTCGCGAATCGAATTTCGAATTGTCGTCAAACAATTTATAGTGAATATTGCAGCATCTAAAACGAATAAATGTTTTAATATCGTAATAAAAAATCAGAGCCCTCGTTTATGTCATTTTCTAAATAATCACGGATTTTGGTATTCAGGTTATCCCTAATACAGTACTACGAAAAACATGTGAGTCATACACAAATTCCTATTATATTAAAAGCGAAATTTGAACTACCGCTCGAAATCATTAAATTATCCGTAGACAACCAGAAGCTCACTTTTTTGTGAAGTTAATAAACATAAACTTATACCTAAATTTTCTTTGATCATTGAAGAATTCACTTGAACTTCGCGTAATAACGGATCGAGAACGAGAGCAAAGATGTTTTTGACATCGAATAATCCTGAATTATTTGCATTCAAGTCAAAAAGACAAGAAATCAATTGTTTTAGGAATCCGAGACATTGGTTGATTTCACGTGATGGAATTAAATCAGGACTTGGAGGATGACACATCTAAAGTATTCAGAAGCTATTTAATGTAAACTTGATAAAATTTACTTTTGCTGTCAACACGTCAATGTAGTAATTGATTCCAGCGATTGAAATTTCTTTACCAGTTTTACTAAGTTCGTCAAGCATTTCCGATATGTGATTCTTTTTTTGTAACAGATTTCTGAAATTCTATTAAAGTTAGGAAAATACAACAAATAATACTCACTCAAATATTGATTTGTAAAAATAAAGCATGTTCGCGACACTACAAATCACTATTGGATCTGTCTCGGAGCCTAATGCTGATTCGACACGAACCTAAACACAAATCTTTTTTTTAATACTACGAATTTCGATAATGTCGAATATTACTTTGAAAGGTGTCGCCAATACTTTGGTTGCCTCGTTTATAGCAGATTGTCCATATTTTTCGAATAGTTCAGGATCACACGAAGAAAGAAGAGATTTGAGTAATTCATTTTCATTTGCACAGATATTGTGAATTGAAGTTATCAAATCACCGACATACCTGAAACAAATTCTTGCAACTTTGAAATACATTCTAATCGCTTACCCAATAGTTGTTGTCCCGGAATCAAGAGATTTCCGATGTGAATTAACGAACTGCCCCAATAAATCATGAGCACGGCAATCGGCATATTGCTCTAAAAATAACACACATAAATAGACTTATTTCAAAAACAGAAAATACTAACCTAATGAGACTTTTACCATTATCGGATTGGATTGAAGTTCTTGAAATGCTTTAATAATCAGTGACTTCTTTTGAATAGAGTCAGCCGATATTTGACGGAAAACTCTTTTCAGATTCTCACAAATCGTCAAATAGGCATTTTCTATTAATAATTGCATATTTTCCATAATTTCGAATGCTGCGACATGTCCTTCTTCCTGTACCAATGTTCGACATTCTCCGTGAATTCTTTTTGCCTTTTCGAGGGCTGTGAAAAACGCATCATTTAGAAATCCATTCTGTTCGCAATTTTCCAATTCTTTCAAATCTTGGGTATCCATCGAAAAATTTTCAAGGAAATCGTTAATTGCCAGATATTTTGACTCGATTCTTTGATGTTTTTGGTAAAGATCGACCGATTTCTGAACAAGATCCCAGTTTTTCATCTTCGTTTTTTCGATATTTTCGTAAAGTCGAAGACAAATCTTGTTCATTCCATGAGCAATATCGTCAAATCGTTGAACTAATTGGTTTATCTTAAATTAAAGTTAGAAATTTTTTTACACTAAAACTATTTACTTTTTCGAAAGCAACCAGATATTCATTATTTAGATCAATGTCCCGTTTTTCCAACTTTCGACATATCTTCTGTTCAGTTCTATTGTTAAGCTCTAAGTTTTTCGCAAACGGTGCAACATAGTTCGCAATTTCCAATGTCTCCTAAATCATCTACTTAATAATGAATTATAATTTGGAACTTACATTTGACACATCTTTAGAAACCGCAATGACAATCTTTTTTTGCAAAATATTCGCTTTAGTGTTCGTTTCCATCATTTAAAAAAATGAAATCAAATCGTGAAAATATTGAATTGCGTAGTATAGACTGCCCAAAACTTGACGTGGAAATCATTTCTTTGACAAACTATTTTTAAAAATTTCGAAAATTTGGATATTTCCCTGCTTTCGTATAATTTTAAGTTTATCAAGTTTTATTTGAAAGTTCGTATTTCAGAAAAACTGGGATTTCGTCGGGAAATTCGAAAATTTGAATCAATCGTTGTACGACATTCCGCGTTTACACGCAACACCCGCGAACGATTCGAATTTGAATTTGCGCTCTCGCAACTCTGCAAATACATTTCTTGTTTCCAATTTTTCTGTTTTCTTAATTCTTTGGTTGCTATTTTTTCAGTATTATTAGAAAAATAGTGATTATTAGAAATTGAGTGGAGTCTGTGATTTAATTATAAAGAAAACATTTTTTTTTTCAGAATGTCCGGAAAAGAGAATGAAGGATCTGTTGCCACACAGAATATGGGAAGCCATGAAGTCTCCACTTAGTTAATTTTTCTTGATAAAATCTCTTTTTTAGCACCACAAGAATGAAGGAAAGCGTAGGGATGAATCCCAAGGCTGGGCTCTCGACGATTTTGACATTGGACGCCCACTTGGAAAAGGAAAATTCGGAAACGTTTTTATTTCAAGAGAAAAGAAAACGAAGCGAATTATTGCATTAAAAGTATATATTTTTTTTAATGCTAATCTTATATGATCAAGTTAGGTTCTTTTCAAAAATCAGCTTGTACAACTTGGAGTAAGTCATCAGTTAAAGAGGGAAATCGAAATTCAGTACCATCTGCGGTAAGTATTATTCCAAAAAATAATGTTTAATTTATAAATTTAGACATCCAAACATCCTTACTCTTTTTGGATATTTCCACGATGATAAACGGGTCTTCGTGATGCTTGATTATGCTAGTCGCGGCGAGCTTTTCAATTTGCTTCAAGGACAACCAGGACATAAAATATCCGAACCTCTGGCTGCTAGGTATAGGAAAAAAATACGGCTAAAACTCACTTTCGACATAGATTTGTTCGCCAACTTTCGAAGGCGCTCATGTATTGCCACGCAAAAGGAGTAATTCATAGAGATATTAAACCGGAAAATCTATTGCTTGATGGAAAACTCAATTTGAAGGTAATTTTTATTTCAAATTTCTGAAAGCCTTAACTTCGATGTATGCAACAAAAAGATTCTCCAAAACTGTCTGATTACAAATGATGAGGGGTAGCGTGTAAGCCGTTGAATAGCTGACATATATTCAAAATTTAAGTACAAATTAGGTTTTCATTTCATTTATCGAGAAATTGGTTATCTGAACGCGTCCAAAAATTTAAAAAGATAGGAAGAAGTCACAGGGTGAAGAGATTTATTCCTTTTGTTCCTAGGTCATTACTATTCCCCGAAAAACACAACGAAGTTTAACTACGTTGTCATTCACCCAAAAATTTAGCACATCGTTGCGAGAAAATAATGCGTGATACGTATGTCTCCCCTCAAACAGAAGTTGTGACTAGCGCAGTGGTATAGCACTCGTTCTCTGCTGCAGGCCGTCGCGGGTTCACTCGCGCTTCGTGGTTCTGCACATTTAAGGACCACGATACTGATTGGCTTGCTATAAAATGTTCGCTCGAGATGCGTGTACCGAATTGTTTCTCAATGCGATTTGGTTCCTTATCCCCTCGGGACATTTCAGGATTGATTTTTTCTAAATGTTGAAGCCGTTTACTAGTGCTTATTTTTTTTTCAGCTTGCTGATTTCGGATGGAGCGTTGTCGCCGATCATTCAAAGCGACACACATTGTGTGGCACCATGGATTACTTGGCTCCTGAAATGGTGTCGAACATGCCGCATGATTTTGCCGTTGATATTTGGGCGGTCGGTATTCTATTGTTCGAAATGTTGGTTGGACATGCTCCTTTTGCAAATCAATCTGGTGAAAACTTAGTGGCACGCATAAAGGAATGTAAAATCTATGTAAGATCATAACCACTTTAAAATGCAACTTTATTTATTTCTAAGATTCCATCGTCGGTTAGTGAAGACGCTTCAAAATTGATTAAAGCGATTATTAAAAAGGTTCCACAAGAAAGGTCTGTTTATATGTATCGAATTAAAAAAAAAACGCTTTTAATGCAGAATTCCGTTAGCTGATATTGTTGCACATGATTGGATAAAAAATATGGAACAACTCGAAGAAGCTGAAGTGAATGCGTTCCTCTCGTCGACAAAATCGAAGACTTCAAAGCCATCGAATTAACCTTGAACTCTTTTTTCGTTGAATTAAAACTTTTCTGGTTTTCTCTTACAACTAATTTCACTTCACAATTATTTCATGCACTTTCTTTTTTGCTTTGAGCTCTTTCCGATTAATTTATTTTTTCTATTTCTAAAATAGGTAATCTTCAAGCTATGGGTTTAAAAAATTTTTTTGTGCACAGGCGACTAAATTCTACTCCCCTTGTATGCCTATTATTTATCATATCCCATTGCTTCTTCGTGGTTTCTATTCAAACCTAACTCTATAAATGATTTGACTGTAATTCAATCATTTATCCGATTGTGAAATTCAAGTTTAACCCGCAACTATACCTGATTTTGAAATGATTGTAGAATTTTTGTAGAAATAAAGTCCAAAATGTCTTATCAGTTCTCTTTTTTTTAAATAATATTTCAGACAATATTTGCAACTTAAAAAGAAGAATCAAGCAGTTTGATTGCGTGTGTAATCGGAACGCTGTGTCTTTGTTTCCCACAGTCGGCAGTTCTATCGGTCACACAATGCCAATCCGTTTATTAAATAAATGAACGCCGCCAAAAAAGAGTAGCATGTTGAGCAAACAATAAGTGAAGTTAACAAGTTAACCGTTTACGGTCAACGGTGCTAAGCCGGTTGAGTTGTTGGCGGCAGATGGACATCCGGTTTTATTTGTTTCCCAATTATTGTGTCAACTGGTTTTATGTATTCTGAGAAATTCAACGCATTCCTTTTTTTTCTTTTGAAAATACCGGTATTTATAAAATAAAACATTTCAGTGGAAATATATCATTCTAGCTGAACTGTCGGAAATCGACAAAAACATTGAAGGCGCCTGGCCAGAAGCAAACTATTGTGTGAATTGCACACACAACTGAATAATTCTGTATTTCGTGATTTTGAATGAGCAGAATTACATATAAAATAAGAAGGGCAGATTTAACAGTATTTCTAAAACATTTCTTGATTGGTTTTATTTACATTAATTTCTTTCTGATTATTTGTTCCTTTTTGATGCGCATTACAAACAAATTCAAATATTAATCTGACTACTGTCTGACCATTATCGGACCAGTCAACAAATAAGTATTAAATAAATATCTTTTCGTTAATTATTTATTAATAGATCAACGAAATGATCAATTATTGAAATTTGGAACCAAAATTTTGTCGAATGAAACGATATTAATTAGTTATTTATGGATCAATTCCGTTATAAAACCAATAAAAAAATAAGAAAAGAAAGAAAACCACTTCTGGGTGTGAGTTTTGATATGGTATAAAAAATGTGCATAAAACTTTTAAATTTTTAGCAAAAACAATTGATAAAACTTAAAATTGGATTTCGCTCATTTATGCGGTTTTCGGTTATAATAGATTTGTGGATTTCTTTTAAATAATCAGCTTTTATCATTTTCATTGAAAACCATTTGGTGATTAAAAAAAGTTGGTGAAAATGGTGATTTAAAAAATTTGGTGATTAAAACTGATTAAAAATGGTTCGGTCGAATCAATTTTTCGAAGGATCTTTCCCGTACTAATTGACATTTCATTTTACGACGAAGTGGTCGCCGCACATATATTTAGATGAAGGGCGCTAGCATCCTAGCGATTCTAAAAGAAAAGTTAACAGTGTTTCAAAAAACGGTCATCATGTAGATACTCGTTTTCGCGCAGCATTCTTCGGCGACCGCAAATCCCAATCCAAATATGCTCATCGGAATACGGTATGCGTATTTGGCTAGTGGGCGGTGCTCTGCAACGGACCAGCTAGTTTTTCGTGCCTCATTTGTTCCCAACAACCATGAATTGCTCTCAACCGTGGAGCTCCGAACAAGTTGCACCATGGACGAATTCACAGTATTCTGATGGCTTCAATGGTATTAATATGTATATTGTTTTCAAAAAATCACAAATGTCTATATTTCAGATTCTTCTCCTCAAAAATCATATGGCAGCGCGGAAGTGAACCAATTGGGAGGAGTTTTTGTGAACGGTAGACCGCTTCCGATCGGAATGCGATACAAAATAGTCGAATTGGCTCATCGAGGTGTTCGACCGTGCGATATTTCGAGACAACTAAAAATTAGTCATGGATGTGTTTCGAAGATTCTAACGAGGTATTCAGAAAACGGGACTATCATGCCTGGAACTATTGGGGGTAGCCGGCCAAGAGTCACGACTCCAAAGGTAATTTGTTCATTTCGAATTGGTCGAATTCTTCCTTTCAGGTTGTTGAATATATAAAATCACTGAAGCGCCTTGATCCGGGAATTTTTGCCTGGGAAATACGCGATCGATTGGTACGAAAATTTCTCAACAGACTGAGCTATTAAGTTGAATTTCAGATAAGCGACCGTATTTGTGACAGGGGCAATTTGCCATCGGTTAGCAGTATTAGTAGAATTCTTCGAAAAAAAGAGACAACGAAATCGATGGAAAACTCAACAATGGAACATCAACAACAAATTCAGCTGGATGAGCAGTGTCGAATTGAATGGAATAATCGAACACAAATACCAAATTCTTGTGTTCCGTATAATTCTTTTCTCAATCAATACCCAATCGATCAACATTCTCCAGAAACGTATCCTTCTCATTTTCAATGCTGATACCGGATGTAATCCGGTCTATCAAAATATTTTCTCATGAGGCTGAATTCGGGTGCCTCATCGAAAATTTTTTATGGTATTCTGTTTTTTTCAAAATAAAAATCAATATATTCATTTTCATATCGAAAATCGTGTTTTTATCAATCATCTGCTGTCCACACATCTGCCTCCTTCTTATCATTTGCAGTTTCTTGACGAGATTCCGGATGCTGTGCTTCTTGGTTGTCCTGGTCTTCTCCAACTCGTTCTGCTTCCTAAATATTATCATTTGATTCAATTTTTGAACCCTCAGTACCTCTTTTTCTTGTCTTTCGGGAAATTGCAATTTTTCCATCATCTCCCTTTGCATTTGCTCGAGTTTCTGCATTGTTATCGTCTTCAGCGGAATCAGTTTCGGCTTGCAGAAAATTGGAGTTAAAGTGTCTTCCTATACAAAATCATTTTAAATTGCCGACAGAACTAACAAACCTGAAAAAGGAAAGTCTCATCAACTGACAACTTCTCGTCGAGACCAATTCCGCGTTTTCCCATTTTCCTAAAATGGTCAATTGATATAATTGCGAAAAAAAATCGAATCATGCAACAGTTTTTTTCTTACAAAATTAATTGGTGATTTTATTGTGATTAATTGGAAGAATTGACAAAACGAGGCAGAAATAGAAGCAAATGAGAGTCGGAAGTGAGCATTGCCTAGCAACAACCAACCTCGTCGGCGTGTCTGTCGTCTCTTGCATTGCTGCTATGACAACACCACAAAATCCAATAATTTATACAATAAGAACAAATAAAATAACAATTAATAATACTGTGTAGATCACACTTGCGAAACTCGATTTCGTCGAGATTGGTCATAGGATGGCGTCGCACTTGGTGCCCGGTTTCGTGAATTCGACGATCGGGGTGCCTGCTCACCAGAAAGGGCCGTCCAGCTACGGCTTAACGCTGCTGACGAGTCTTCAATAGGATACGCATCAGTCAACAATTATATTCTCTCACTCACTACTACTTTCGTATCCATCGTTGATGACACCAAGAGCTGGAGCGGCACTCAGACGACTTTTGGGAACATCGAACGGAGGCTGAAGATATTGGCCGATGTTCGATGGCATTCCAAGAGGATTTTGTCGAGTTGATGACAATCCTGGAGAATGCATGCTTGAAGGTGCTGAAAATGTGGAGTGAAGAATATACAGTGCTGGCCATAAAGAAATCAAAAAATGGTTTTTTGAGCATAACTTTTCTGAAAGTAGTCCAATCACTCTGAAATTTTTAGACAACAACTAAAACAATAAAAGTGATAAATTCGACACATAAGTTATTAATTTTTTCGAAAAATTAAAACGAAAAGATCAATTTATTAAAAATCAACAGAAACCGGTAAATAGTGACCCGTTTTAAACACGATCTAAAGTGGTCTTAAAGTTGCAAGCAGGTAATAAATGATGTACGCAGGCTTAATACTTCGTGGCAAAGCCTTTAGCATTGATGACAGCCTGACATCTTCTCGGCATTGACTCCAGAAGTGCGGTAATGACGGACTGTGGGATGGCTTTCCACGCAGCTTCGAGTTGAGCGAATTTTTGATCCGCATTGTGGGCTCTGACCCCATTAAGACGTCTCTGGAGCTCCTCCCACATGTGTTCAGTCGGATTTAGGTCCGGGGATTGGTTTGGCCACTCAAGAACATCCACACGGCGCCGTTGAAACCAATTGCGCACATGAAGTGAAGTATGTTTTGGATCGTTATCCTGCTGGAAAACATATGCACGACCCACGAACCGAAGCGTCCATGGTCGCATTGTATTTTCCAGCACGTCCTCATATTGGAAACGATCCATCGTTCCATTGATTCGTCTCAATGGCCCCATACCACTCGCGGAGAAACATCCCCATACCATTACTGAACCACCCCCATGTTTGACCGTTGGAAGTTGGTACTTCGGCTGATACCTGGTGCCAATAGGGCTGCGAATCCATGTAAGACCATCACTCCCAAACAAATTAAGTTTAGATTCGTCGCTCCAAATGTGCTTTGCCCATTCTTGTGGTCCCAAGTGAAGATGAGCCTTACGCCACTCAACTCGATATTTTCGATTTTTAAGACTAATGAATGGTTTTTTCACTGGCCTTCGCCCATGGAGCCCCATCTCTTGCAAACGTCCACGAATGGTTATCTAGATGGTGCTGGATCGTTTGGAGAGTTCACAATCATCTGGATCATCGTTGCGTTTCTCTTAGGATCTTCTACAGCGGCCCGACCAATGTTGCGATCCATGGTTCGAGTTGTTTCACGCGGTCCTCCAGGAGACTTTCGAACAATACATTTGTTCTAGACATTTAAAATTGTTCAAATATGTTTTAAAAATGTTTCCTGTTCATCAAATTGTTTTAGGATTCGCGAAATAGTTGAAATGGATAGGGTGAATTGCTGAGCAAGCATTTTCGCGAATGTCCCTTGTTTAAAGCCGTTGACGATGGCTTTCTGAATCTCTACAGATGTTGTTTTTGCTTCTTGACGTCTACCCATATCTGGAAACATATTCTCAACTTGATTTATTAAATATACAGCACAATAAAAAAACTATGGCTGGTGATTTGAAAAGTGTGAAAAAAATCAAAAAATCAAAAAATTAAAAAAAATCCCAAAAAAAATTTTTTTTTCAAGCATGATGCAATTTGTTGTCTGGATTTGTGCGTAATGATGCTGCGTACACACTCCAAAAATTTCAGAGTGATTGGACTACTTTTAGAAAAGTCATGCTCAAAAAACCACTTTTTGATTTCTTTATGGCCAGCACTGTATTTTTAAAATTTAGTTGAGGGAAAGGGTTTTTAACTAAGCGAATTTTGTGGCAGTTCGTCCGGTGGAAATCGGGCAACCTAGGGGTTACAAAGGGTAGACACTGGGGCAACGTTCGCCCGGGGGCGACAACCCGCAGATCAAAATATGATAAATCATTGCAACCCCCAAAACCCAAAAAAACGTGCCCCCTCGTCAGTTTAAGAAAGCCTCTGGTTTACAGCCATAGTTAGCGTCACGATAGATCAGACGGTAATTCGTTTCTTCACGGGCTTGGCCGCCGTCTGCCGCTCGCAAACTGATGGGCAAACAACGCCCGACATATTACGGGTTTCGCCGCACACCATCTTTCACGCGCTATGTGGGCGGAGCCTACCTCGTTCGCCGCCGCCGTATTCTGTCGAAATTGTGTCAGTTGAGTGTACACTAAGCGGACGAACATTTCGATTATCTGAATCATCAGATGAACACTAAAATTATGAAAATTAAATGAATTTCCGCTCATTCTACCTGTGCTGTTCTCATTTTTGCTTTTTCTTTTCTCAATGAGCGAACTGCATTTGATTTGGCCGAACGTTTGGCGTTTGCCATTACAATTCTTTCCATACTTCCTGCCAATATTTGCTTTGAGATCATTGCTTTTATACATTTTGCTTCTACCATACGCATGATTGTCAAACCCTCCGAAACTTTTGTTTAAATGGGAAGGAGATGGAGGTTCGCGCGAAAAATCGCCACGTTCACTTGAAGTCGAATCATGAGAAACATCAAAATTCACATTATAATGGCAATCTTGATATTGCAATGGTTTATCGTCTTGGAATTCGACCCTTTCGCGGAATGACTCGAAGATTTTGAGGATTGTGGCGAAATTAGGCCGCTTGAGTGGATCAAATGCCCAACATTGTTGCATTAATTTGTATCTGCAATATTGAATTGGAATATCAATTAATACTACGATCAATTTGGCACAATCTATCCGGACAGTAAATCGGCTTCTGAGGGACTTCTCCAGCTCGAACATCGGTCACAACCTGAATCCTCCAAAATTTGACATTTTCTTTTTGCGTCAAACCTTTCTGATCTCTTTATCCGCATATGGGGTCTCGCCGAGGCTGAAAATCTCAAACAGAAGGACTCCAAACGACCATACATCACTTTTTGAAGTGAAATTGTAATCTTTCATAACTTCTGGCGCCAACCATCTGATTTTGTCGCTATTTTCGACATCGACTTGTTCTTGAAGCGGATTAACCAGTCCGCTGGAAATTGATAATTCTAATTTCACGACACGTTGTTGTCCAGAGGCAGATCGATTTGACAATAGGCAGTTTTTCGCGCACAAATTTCGATGAACATGAGGTAATCTGAATTGAAACACGTTTCTTGATAATTAATGGTTCTCTGCTCGGCGAGAGATGGGTTTCGACAGGATTTGTCCCCGTTCGCTCGTGAAACTCTTGAATTCTGACACCATCCGAACTGGAGTAGTCCGAACGGGGCAAATTGTATTCACCGAGGACCCTGTCGACTAGGCTACGGAAGCACACGATACCGAGGAACAGATTGCATATTTGTAAGGGCCATTTTACCTCTCCAAGTAGTTCATTCCTCGTGCAATGTCGACAGAGAACGCCAACAAATCGCGAAGACATAATTCTGATACTTGATTTTCAGAAGGAATGCTGCAAATGTCGAAAAACAAAAGTTAGACAATCAAAAAGAAGAAATTTTACGAATCACGCAAAAAGTTGAGAAGTGTGCCTCCTTCCATTAATTCCAGCAAAAGAAATTCGGATCCCTGAGAAAGACAAACGCCGAGTTCTTTAATTATATTGGGATGATCGACGTTACTGAAAAACGAACAAAAATTGGATCGGCAATTAAGGAATATTATTACTTTAAAAGAATAGCTTCTTTCATAAATATGACTTTATCTCGGTAAGAATAATCGGGTTTCAATGTCTAAAAAAAGAAAAATTTCCACAAAAAGGAGGTCATCTCACTTTGATTGCCACTTTGATATTTTTCTCCCAACTCAGCGGAACTTCTGTTGCAATTCCTTCATGCACGTTTCCATACGATCCCATGGCTAACATGGTCCCTATTATCACATCTTCTTGGTTGACAAGTGGCAAATCTGAAAATATTCTCTATTGAATTTTGTTCAAAACGATCTGCATACTTTTGAGTTCATGGTTTATTTCTGGTGGCAGGGGTTGCATTGGTGAAAGCGCCAAATTGGTGACAACGTCTAATCGAATACAGTTTCTCTCATCTTGCGCTTGCCGTTTTTTAATTTTCTGTGCTCGCCGAGCTTTTACTATAAAATAATTTACTATAATAACAAATAGATATTACTATAGTGAAAACGAGCACCCCCGTGTAGATTACAGCAAATTTGAAGAGCAGGTTATTCATACTACGGTAGATAATATTAACTGTTTAAATTCAAATTTGAATAAAAATACTCTGGTGCGAAAACACCACAAGGGTCTCGTTTTTTTTTCGATTTTAATAAAATTAAATTCCAAAGAACTTACGCCAAAAACATAATACAAATACAAGAGCTGCTAGTAGAACAATTATGAAAATCGTAAGAAGAATGTATGTCAAATATCCGGGCTCATTTTTCTCTTCAACTTCCCGTTCCTCAGTGTACGCGTACGGTCCAAATCCTTCGACATTTGCTGCTCGAATTCGGAACTCCAACGTCTGATGTTGCTGATTATCAGTGCTGATCGGTCTCCAATATGTCTTCCATCCATCCAATCCCCGTTCAGCAATTTCCCATTCAGCCGTTTTATTCGTTCTTGTCTGAAGTCAATTCCAAACATATGAATTTTACTCAAATTTGCACACCTCGACAGCATAACTTGTAATTGGCGAACCGCCATCGCTGATCGGCTCCTTCCATGTCAGAATCCATCCTTCCGTATCCATTCTCGATTCAACATTCTGTGGCTGGGTAGGTACTCCAGCTTTTGTCCTTGCTTGCTGCGATATCTGATAATATTCCTCTTTGTACGCCAAAACCTTTCCATCGATCGTATACGTTCCCGTATAAGTGGCAGCATATCGATAATCATAAGAAGTTGCCGATAACAGATTGGAAATGAGAACAAGTTCAGTCGGCACATCAGCTTCAAATGTTGCATTTTCGGGTATAATCCATTCGTGATTCTCGCCAGATTCCTTATATTGCACAGAAATACTGCTCGGCAGCTTCTCGGGTTGAAGTCCATTCCATCGTAGAAGGAGTGTTGAACCAGTGACATTATCTGGACGAAGAGTTCCAGGGACATCCAGAGTCTTGGCTGATGCTTCCATGGAAACTGCATCGTCATCTTTCAGAAATGTTGAATCAAGATGACTGTTATGAATTGCTGTGATCCAAAATTTGTAATCATTCGAAGGTCGCAGGTTGGCGATTTTCACTCGACATGGATTAATGAGACAAGCAGCCGAATCGGACGATACATTCGATGAGACCACTTCCGACAGTGGAATGACAGCAATCGAAGTCGGCGAAGTTAAGCCGGCTGCTTGTTGACTCACGCGATATTTGATTTCCGAAATTGGCGCATTCAGAGTTTCCGGTAGATTCCAATAAAGATACACTGTATCAGGTGTTACAGGAATCGCGTGAGGATCTCTCGGTGCCGACGGATACCCAAAACCAGTGCGGAAACTCTTTGTCGCAGAAATTCCACTAGCTGGAGAATAACGATTAAGCCAAGTAACCGTTACGTCATAATCCGTTTCTTTGTCGAGAATCCCATTTTCGACGTGGATTTTATCCGAATAACTTCGAACATGCTTGACTTTGTCAGTGTTCTTCCGAGTAAAATAGATCTAAAATGGAAACCATTGTTTGAGTTGATGATTCTTCGAAGAACATTATTAGCATACCTCGTACTGAGTCTGCGGCATGCTCACCATCTCACATGCTGACGGCAGCATCGATTTAGTCACATCAAGGTATGCGCCGGTTTTGCCTTCATTCACAATAGTGAACGCGATTCCTTTAGATGACGGAAGTTCGAAACAACTCCGATCGGGATAAGGTTGGCTGCTTTGACTGACAGCTAGAATCTGTTTCAACGGAGGATTTGCAATTGGAATTGGAGTGATCGACTCTTTTCCATATATAAGCATTTCGGACGATGTGACAAATGCGAATAGAGTGTCTGCAATCGCAAACGAAGAGATCGCGCGAAGCCCTTTTTCGCCGAATTTTGACCAATCAATTCGAACTTCATTGCACTGATAATCTTCTGCAAGATCCACGTAGATCAATCCATTCCACGTGAGTGCGTAGATTTTCGGTGATGACGCGCGGTTCCAAGCAAACTCGGTCATCATCCACGTGACTGTTTGGCTAGTCAGGCATGATATTGTCAATGCGAGATTTGCTTCTGTGTTTTGGTTGAGGTCTAAAGCGAACAGTGATCCATTTTTCGTTAGGAGATAGGCGGTGCTATAATATTTGGATTTAATGTACTAATGAAGTGAAATAAACGAACTTTTTGAAAGGATCGTATGTGAGCTGTTTCGCATCAGTCGCTGAAGATAATTGTATCAATTTGTGAGGATTCAGAAGAGATGTTGACAAGAATGGCTCAAGCGGAAGTTGGTATAAGGCGGTTCCCGCAACAAACAGAAGACGATGTCCAACCCAATCGGATGTCATTGCGTCGATTCTCGTCACATCCCCTCCGATCGACACTTTGTGCACCGTATTATCAATATGGTTAGTATCGATTTGAACAAGAAGAAGCTGCGCAGAATCGCCTTCGTTTCGGACTGCATACAAATCTTCACCGATGAAAGCCAATGCTTGATATTCGAGCTGTAACAATGAATACGGATAATCGAGTGATGAAACAAGAATCTGACTCTAGTTGGGAGTGTAACTTGACGAATTTCTCTTCGAGGTTCCGCATTATTAAGATCATTCAGTGCAATCAGTGAATTCGTTGAATCAATGGCGAACAGACGAACCAATGGTTTCAACTCTGCAATTTTGATTTTCAACGTGCATTGACACGATTTCTTACCGGAACTATCAATAGTGATGACTTCCGAAAAACTGCCCTGATTCGTCGGCTCGTTCGCCGCCGCAGCTTGACAAGAAACTTTTCCGGACTTGACCGCGAATGAATAATGAGATTGTGATGTCGTAACAGGCCCGCCGATCCATGTTCCGTCGTCTTTTGTACAGTTAACAACATACTGATAAGGTGTTCCGTTCCATTCCAAAGGCGGAGACCAAAAGAACGAAATGATTGCTCGCGGACCATCGACAGTTTTCTGTTGGGTCGCATAAATCCGCAAATCTGTCGGCGGAGTAGGTGGCTTGACGGGAGCAAGAAGACCAGTCCGATTCAAAATTGCAGTCGTCCAGGGTGTGATCGCCTGAATTGAGACATCAAATCGTTGGGCACTGCTCCATTGTTCGAGGGTTTCGTCAGGAATCGTATAGTTGGAATCCAGTTGCACGTTGATCAAAGGAGCGTCAAGACCCATCTTTTCCCGAAACAATATCACCTAAACGATCGTTGAATTGTTAAGTCTAATATATTTTTTTTTTGAAATTACTTTATACAAAACGCTTCCTCGGTGAATAACTGGTGACAACGACCATGTCAATTCTGTTTTGCTTCCTTCGATAAATTTAATCTCATCTTAGTCAACATCATTTTTCAATTAATTCGTATTTTTACAAACCAGAAAACTCAATTTTGTGAAGAGAATCAGCATATCGAAGGGACACAATTCTATCAACTCTTGGTAGATTAATCCCGACATTGATCGTCTTCAAACCTTTATCGGTTTGCACAATTTGGCCAGATTTTGTGATCAGAAACATATGATCATTTTCCATATGAAACCGACGAAGTCTACAATTTTTATCTAATTTTTGTCTATTTTCAATACCGATATGATTACGGTGGAAGATCTTCGCATGTTGCAACCAATTGTTTTATTCGATTCTCGTATTTTGTTTTCCATAAAAGTGCAGTTCCATTTCTTGTTTGTGTTAGAAAATAAAGCTGAAATTTCGTATCGTTTTATATATCAAATCCGTTTTCGAGTGAGCTTTTCCGCGGAATTATGAGGTGCCAGATTTTTGCGAGCACTTTTTCTGCCGGTAGTCTTCGAGAGTCCTCGGGAATTTAGTCGAGAATTTCGGGACCACCGGAAAAATTAAAACGAAAACTTTCCAGAAAAACACACTCATCTCGTTGACAATTTTGATGTCATTTCAAAAGAAGAAAAAAACTCACTTCCGACGACTTATCATTGCTTGAAATTCCAATAACTTCGGCACAATCTTCCAATGGCTCTTCACAAGTATAATATCTAAATTTCTATGAAATATTCACATCATTTTCACTTACTCATAATCAAAAGTTGTCGTCAAACGATATGAAACAATTCGATATGATGAAGCGATCACAATTATCGCTTTCGATGGCATTATTGTGATCATGTCAACGAAAAGACCTTAATTTATAAAACAAAATCTAATTCATACAAATTTGCAAACGAAACCATCTTTGAATGGTTTTGGAGGTCCTGCGAGATCATTCAAATCTTTTTTGAAAATTCCCATCTGAAATATTCCAATTTTAAGAATTGTTGGGTCAAATTCTACCGAATGGTCTCCAGCCATATAAACTGTTTTTGTCGTATTATCCAAAACATGCGGATTGGTGAATGTTGCCAATTTGTGAACTGAAATGAAATCAATATTGGTCGAAATACTGATCTTGTACTAATTTATTACAGTACCCTAATTAATGTAGAAATTACATTAAAAAAAAGAATATTAATGGACCTGATTCGTCGATAGAAATTACATCTCCGATAATGTTGATCGCCTCAATGTTGTCTTCTTTCTTCCGTGTGAATACGAATGGAATGACTAAACGAAATCAAATTGATTCGAGAATATAGAATTAGTAAATAATATACGCAAATGAAATATAGAGTTGGAATTTTTTCTGCGATTGATTTTGGCGCGAATTTTAAAACTTTTAAAAATTTGTTTTTCTAATTTTAAATGATGGGAAAATGTCACAATCAGCCAGGAAATTTCAAAGATGTTCGTTTCAAAAGAAAATTAATCGGTGTTTAATGAAATGCACATCCATATGCTTACCATTTCCAAGATCTTCCAATGCCGTGTTTTTAGTTGAAACTGGTGTTGAGCAGAAGTCGTCAGAGCACAATTGAATTTGTACAGAATAGCTCACACCGGGTTTCAAATTAATCTTCTAAAAAATGCCATCAAAAAATGTTATAACTCCAATAAGCTCTCAATTACCATCTCATTGTCGGTTGTGTATATCTCTGTTGCTGTTTTTTCAGCAATCGTCGACTCGTCAGGTGTCGTGATTTTCAGTAGAAACGTTGTATTTCTCCAAAATCGATTCTGTGCTTGAAACGGCGGATTCCGTCCGGCATTCCACGAGATTCGTCCAATCTTGTCGCCAACAATCATCGATATGGTCTTTACCGCAGCAATTCGTGGCTTCAGTAGAACGTCCTCCATAAATGTGAAATCGACGAAACTCGAAGAGTACGCGAATCTGTAAAAAGAAGTTGATGAGAGTGGGATTCGAACCCACGCCCCCGGAGGGACTGGTGCCTAAAACCAGCGCCTTACAAGGGAAGTCATTTTACCTCCCGTCTTAGGATTTTTTGTAATTTTGCACACGTAAACTAGAAGGTCTTTTGAGAGTATTCACAAAATTCCAGCCTGCACTGGGGGGTTACAGGCGAGTTATGGCCGTCTGAAAATTCAAGGTGTTTTTGCATTGTCAGCAACTGTGCTCGTTAGCACTGTTCAGACACGCCCATTGATGCAATATTTGTGATTGTTACAACGATGATCAATCATTATTAACATTGTGGCTCGCTATGAACTATTGCTTTTTCTATTTGTATTTTTGTTGATTTTATAACTTACTTATATTTTATTCTTGCCTCGTTTATTAAATAAAAGGTTTAATTACCCAAGTTTGAGGTGTCAAAACATTGGTGCATCGACAATTCGAACTTGGACGCAAACGTGTGCAGCAGAGAAGCCACTCAGCTGTTAAGTGGAACGTTTGAAGTCGACGACATCGGTGTGAAGTCGAAGACATTGGTGTGACGTCGAAGACATTGGTGTGAAGTCGAAGACATTGGTGTGACGTCGAAGACATTGTTGTGAAGTCGAAGACATTGGTGTGACGTCGAAGACATTGGTGTGACGTCGAAGACATTGGTGTGACGTCGAAGACATTGGTGTGAAGTCGAAGACATTGGTGTGACGTCGAAGACATTGTTGTGAAGTCGAAGACATTGGTGTGACGTCAAGAATTGGCTGGACGTAGAAGTTGGATAATTTTTGGACGACTTGGTTATCACCCTGTTAACCCAATCGTCGTTTGGAACAATTTCTTTGATTCGTGGGCCATCAGACAACAAGTGATACGGAGCTTTGGAAGCTCACCAGTTTGCCTAGGTTTGGAAACCAACTGGTTATCGCGGACGACAAGCGGAGTCGAGCAGTGCAAATTTAACAAGTCAGTTTATTTACGATAGATTCACCCTGTTCTTCCTTTTTTTTTGAGATAATCTTGAATAGTTCTAACATTTGTTTATTTTCCAAACTCGTGTTGTTACCACGTAGGCCTGAGGGATCTAGTTCGGAAAAGCCGACGGCTATAGGATTCAGAAAACTTCCGGAATTGCAATACATTCACGAAATTGCATCATCTTTCCATTTTCTAATATCTTTTTCTTATCTTATCGATTCAGCTCAATATTAATCATCCCTATAACGCTAAAAATAATTGGATTTCTGGTTGCCCGTTATAATTGCATGACTAACATATAACTTTGCTGACAAAATGTCAAGTCTGTCGAGTCTGTTGGGGCTATGTACCAAGGCAGAAAAATTGTTTGAAGAAGAGTATTTAAAATTAGTTGCTAAGCAAGGAGTATGGGAGAGTGTAGCTAGAAACCATGAAGCGTTGGAAGAACTGGTGGATGAGATAGAAGAAGAAATGTATAAGATGGAAACTCTAGCAACGAAGGTACAAACAAGGTTGGATAAGTTGGTTGAGACGATAGATGAGCTTGAGGAAACGACACAAGAGGACGAAATAAAAGTGAAAACCAAAATGATGAAGAACGAAGAAATTCAAGACAAAACTGATCGCATGACAAACTTGTACCGACCGAAATTATTCACACTGAAGAAGAAGTTGAAAGCAAACACAGGAGATACAAGAAGACAAAATGTTACGGGAAACAAACCGTTGAATCAGAAATACGAATACCAGAATTTCATGGGAATCCAAATGAATTCGTTGCATTTTGGACCATATTTGAAGAAGCCGTTCATATGAATGACAATATGTCAAATGTGTTGAAATTTTCATACTTGATGAATGCATTGAAAGGAAAAGCAAAGATTGCTGCAAGCAGATTCCCAGTAACCAATGAAAACTATCCGCAAGCAATTGCCTTTATCAAGGAGAAATTTGGAAACGACAAAATACGAGTGAAAGAATTGGGAAAACAACTCAAGAATTGTAAAGCACAGTCGAGTAAGATCGAAGATCAACAGATGTTATTCGACGAAGTAGCGGCAACTTTGAATCAATTGGAAACTAGCGGAGAAGCAATGGATATCGAAATGACCAGAGAATTGATTACGAAGAAATTCTCGCGAGAGATCCAAAAAAGTGTCTACCGAATGCGTGAAGAATCACCGGAAGATTGGAATTTGACCACACTGATGAAAAGCCTGGAAAAGACTTTGAAAACGGAAGCGAATGTTGAGAACGACTGTGAAAACGAACAGGTCAGAGAAGTGAAACAAAATGTGGTTCGAAGAAATATAGTTAACGAAAAACAATTCCGGTGTTATTTCTGTGAGAAAAATCACCGCGCAGACAATTGTCTTAATTATTCTTCTATTGATGAGAAATGGAAACGAATTAAGGAGCTCAAAAATTGTTTTAATTGTTTAAAATCTGGGCATTCCTCAAGAGAATGCAGAAGCGAGAAATGCAGAAACTGTCAAAGAAGTCATCATCGATTGTTGTGCAAAAACATAAATAGCAGGAACAGGAGCACACGAATCTCATTTGGAATGTGTACCAACTGGAGGAAAGCTGAAAGCCGATAAATTTGAAATTTCCGAAATCTGCGTTGATGCCTACTGCATTAAATCGACAACATATAATGAGGAGTTAGAATTATGGATACCACCGAGCAGAAGAACACGACTTTTTGAATTAAAAATGAAAGCTCGAAAAGGATCGACATGGATAATGGAATCGAAATCATGTAATCCATCAAAAAGAGAATTTTGTGAGGAGATCGATTGCCTCGTATGCCTTGAACTAATATTGAATCCACACTGTCACCCAATCAAAGCAATTGCGACGACCACAATACTATTTCTTTTTCTTGTAACTATCGGATGTATGTGCACTATGATGACAAACTTGATATGGATTGTGTCGGTTGTAACAAGAATCCTGATCAAACTATGCTTTTCAATATTGCAAATAACAGTGAAGCTTGGGAAATGGACGGTATTACCATTATTCAGATGGTTTGCAGGAAAATTTATAGAAAAAAGACGAAGACGACGAATCAACTGGGATTCAGTTTCTATAGCATTAGTATTAGTTCACTTTGGGATAACGAATGGATGCCAAGAAGTCGATGTTACAGAATCACGGAATTTGCTATGTACAAAGAGCGCAGATCACGAAAAATGCGCATGGAACATCAAGGAGAACATTGCATTTAACTCGTGGACACGTGAAGCATGTTTGCGAGTAACAAAAAATGGAATAACATTGAGAGAATTGAAGATCGAATTCATAGAATCGCGAATGAAATGCATAAAAAATACCATCGCGTTTTCTAGAGAAACAGAACAAAAAGTATTAAGTGTGAAAAGATGCCCTAGAATGGGATCGTGTACGGAAAACAAATGCGCCAACATCACAGAAAATTCGAAAGTGACAGAACTGGACGAAGTCAATCGATTTCCAGGGACGACGGGTTGTAGTGAATCATGTGGTGGATGGGGGTGTGATTGTTTTTACACCAGCTCAGGATGCATTCTATACAGAATATACGCAGTACCGATCAACGAAGAAATCATGGAATTGTACAGATGCGATTGGAAGCATGAAATTGTGTTCAAAATCACGGAAACTCGGTTGCGGAGCTTCAAAAATGTCAAGAAACAATGGAATGTGACACTTGCAACAGGCAGCACACTGGGAAAAATGTCCATTCATCTACAAGAAGTGAGCCTTCCAACATCATCGATCAACAGCGAATGGTTTATGAAAGGAAACCAATCGACAAGTTTATGGACGAACGGGAAATTCCCAGAGCTAAGATGCAAATCACTGAAAGAAGCAGAATTGTTAAACTGTGAATTCGAAGAAAATTGTAAATGTGTACCAGCTGAAACACAAATGAATTGCAAATGCAAGAACTCATGGGAGGAATACCATGACATTCACAGAAAATTACCACTGCAACGGAACTTGTGGAAATTGGAGACTGACGATGAAGGGACTGCAATTATGAAATCGACAGAAATAAACAATGCTGAACTTGTGTTGAAAATCGAAGACGATTCTCAATTGATGATTGTCAAAAACAGCGATGAGTGCAGAATTTCAAACGTCGAACTGACGGGTTGCTACAATTGTGCCAAAGGAGCAACAATTTCTTTAAAATGCCATTCACTAAAGGAACAATTGACTGGAGATGTGGAGTGTGGAAATCACAGGGCCGCAGTGAAATGCTCGCCGGCAGGCGAAAGAAATACGGCGAACATGTTTTTTGACAAAGCAAGGATTACAGAAAAATGCACGATCGACTGTGGCGGAAAGACCATAAATCAATTCAACTTGGAAGGAATCCTACGTTTTGAGGCCGACGTTTGGAGTTCAATGAGCCGCATACTGAACGGAGAAACAAAAATCTATGATGAATGGAAATTACCAGATTTTTGGTTCCTTTTGGAAACATACTTCCAATACATGGAATACGTTTTCATCGCAATAGCTACGGTTATAGTCATTATACTCTGCAGCTACTTGTTTTTGTGCAACTTGTTCAAATCTCTTCTTTGGAAACTTATCAGCCTTCCTTTCAAAATTTGTCGCAAATGCAAGCCCACACAGCGCAAAGACCACACTGCGTAAGTCTTTTTTTTAACTTTCTTGAGTGAATTGATGTGTATGCTTAACAATAATAATGCTTTTGTGTAAAAAAAAAATCTATCTTTTACTAATTTTAACTTAAACATCGTGAATAGTGGCGCAAATTTTGATGAAGTTTTTTTTTCTGAAGCCGGGAGGCCATTACGAAATTGGTTGAAGAATAATAGTTGTTACTTATCGTTCTTACATATACAATGTTAGATTTTAATTTTGAACTTTGCCAATTCTGTTATCATCTTGTTTCTAAATTTTAATTGTGTTTTGCAACTCAAGTGTATTAGTCACTTAAGCGTAGGCCCGGGGAGTGTGCTCGTTAGCACTGTTCAGACACGCCCATTGATGCAATATTTGTGATTGTTACAACGATGATCAATCATTATTAACATTGTGGCTCGCTATGAACTATTGCTTTTTCTATTTGTATTTTTGTTGATTTTATAACTTACTTATATTTTATTCTTGCCTCGTTTATTAAATAAAAGGTTTAATTACCCAAGTTTGAGGTGTCAAAACAGCAACTATTTGGGCAAGGGGTTACGCATACGCCTCTTGGGGCCCCAGTTTGGCATCCAGGTGAAGTGAAGTGGTATGTGTGCGGGGCCGTGACTTTATGATGAAGGTTAGCACCCGGATCATGCATTTTTGCATTTTTTTCTTTTTGCCACAGAAAATTCCGCTGCAAATTGGTTTCAAACGCATAATTTCATGTAAAAGTGTCGTTTAAACATTCTTTATTATTTTTTTTTGCATTTTACAGTTTTTCGGTTTTTTCAAAAATTTCCTGAACTCTATTGTTTTCCACTTTATTGTTTGGTTCTTGGAGTGGATGGAAAGGAATGGATGGACTGCAAGGACACAAATACAACTCCAACATTTCGAAGTTTCTATTCCAACTGGATATACGGGATTCGTGGAATCACTCGATGTTGGAGTATTCGGAGGGCCCAAAAAGTTATCAAATCCATCGGAGAATACACCACTTTTGGCAACATTCATTCAAGGTCCACAAGCGAAAGTCGATTTTTTTGGTAAAAACCAGTAATGAAAATGTTATAACATTATTTTCTTACACATTCTTTATGTCGTGTACAGGAAATTGTGTTATCCGAAATTTCAAGATTGGATCAAGCATACATAGTTGGGCTGCGAGTGGATATAATGTTGCACGGCCTCCACCATACCTCACTCCAGCGCAGAAACTCTTTTCGAGAGACGTTGCCAGAGAATGCCAAACGCCAGAATGTAGCAATATATTGATATAACTCATTCATTCGTTTTTTGTATTTTGAAAAATTCTTATGTTTCGAACTCATGATTATTAACAATCACATGAACTGTTGGTTGCCTGGCCCGCTGCTGACCTGGTGTTGCAAAATAAACTCCGAAAAAGAGTAAATTGTTAAATATGTAAAAAAAATAAAATTATGCGTTTAAACGATCAGAAGTGAGTTTTTCGACATCCAATTGTGGAAAACAATAGAGTTCAGGAAATTTTTGAAAAAAACGAAAAACTGTAAAATGTAAAAAAAAAATAATAAATAATGTTGAAACGACATTTTTACATGAAATTATGCGTTTGAAACCAATTTGCAGCGGAATTTTCTGTGGCAAAAAGAAAAAATGCAAAAATGCATGAGCCGGGTGCGAACATTCATCATAAAGTCACGGCCCCGCACACATACCACTTCACTTCACCCGGATGCCAAACTGGGGCCCCAAGAGGCGTATGCGTAACCCCTTGCCCAAATAGTTGCTGACAATGCAAAAACACCTTGAATTTTCAGACGGCCATAACTCGCCTGTAACCCCCCAGTGCAGGCTGGAATTTTGTGAATACTCTCAAAAGACCTTCTAGTTTACGTGTGCAAAATTACAAAAAATCCTAAGACGGGAGGTAAAATGACTTCCCTTGTTAGACCACTCGGCCATCTCACCACACGTGAAAATCCTGTGTTCGGTATTTACGCGTCTGCCTTTCCCTCGCCGAAGACCCCCCCCCCCTCCCCCCTTCTCTCCCTTTAGCAATGTCAACAGACACAGACATCTAAACGGAGTATACTCACTTATAGGGCAGCCCAACTTCCGATGTCTGTATATTTTCGCCGAAAATGCAAATCTGAAATTAAGCGAAACACATGAGCGAAAAGTCGACGAACAACTATTCACCTGCTCCTCTTGCTCCTGATCGCACTTCAATTTCATGTAGTAAAGCATTTTGTCGACAATCCGAAATTGCGAAACATCGGCAAAACCATCTGCTCGAATTTGGTGCGATTGATCGGCTATCGGACTCCAAGAAATCATTGAACCTGTAGAACACCTTTAATGGAGAATCATTGAAACTTGGACGTACCGTTTTCAAGTACGGAATTCAGCTCAAATCTATCCTGGTCGTAAAAAATAGCAATTGCTGGAGATGCATCTTTTATAAGCACAAAATTCTTGACCGCTTCGACTCCGCTCACATTGAATGCCACCAATTCCGATTTGTAGACTTTTGTGTCAGAATGTAAAGAATACATGTGCCTTTAAACAATCAAGTTTGAAATTGCCCAACAAATCATTCTACCCATTCACAGAATCGAGACATATTTGTTTCGGCGGATTTGAGGCATTACTGTTCACAATAAGAACACATTGTGGTGGTTCTTCGGAATTTATCATGTGGATTTTGCATCTGAAACAATTCATTTAAAGGGGGTGACGTAACATCAAAAAGTAAAAAAATATATCAAAAAAGAAATCGGAGTAGAAATAAAAAATAATCCAACTGAAATTTTGGTGTTGTTTGTTGCGAAGAAATAGAGGAGAGATGTAAAACACAGTGGTCGTCAAATAAAATGCATTAGTCCGCAATAAATATTTTTAAATTGAGGGAAAAATAAATAAAGTGCCCCGCGTGTTTACACCAAAACATTTCATTTTACGAATATTTTCAAATGTGTAATTTTCAAGTGAATGAATATTTGAACGCTCACAATTTTCATTTTTGACGTCGTAGAGTTACGAATGATGAATGCCGATGAAGAAATGCCCAGGAATATCGAAAATAAAAGAAATTGAAATTATTGCGGACCAGTGCATTTTATTTGCCGACAATACTCCCAGTTGTTCACTTCTCATTCGTTTTTCTCCTCAACGAAACAACGTCGCGTTTTTGAATCAGAATATTCATATTTTCAAAGATGATTTATCGTGACGTGCCTTAAAATTCCTTTATCTTGCTGAATAGCATATATCCTTTTTTGAATATGATCTAAAATGCGGAATATTAATTAAATTCGAATTGTTATTCAGACCAATTTCAATTTGTCGAATTGCTGTGTCGGTTTCCTCTACAGTTCTGAGTTGAACTACCGTATTCGATTGAGATTCGTCGGTCTGATTTGCGGAAATGTGAAATGTCCAAAGGAATCCCTTCTGACTTCCGATTGCAACAACATTCTCAGATATTCCCGAAATCGCTGTGATGGAATCTCCTTGTGCGAGAGGAAATCCGATCACATTGATGATTTGCGAACTCTCGAAATTCTCAGCTTCTAATAAATGAGTGCCATTTGTGAAAACTAGACGCGATGGTTGCGGTGTTGCGTTCAATTCATTTTCAACTAAAAATTGAATGAAAATCGGGAAAAACCACGAACATTTTTCACCTTGATTAACAAAAAGATCGAAAACGAATTCAACATGAGCTGCTGTTGCTCCACTTTCGTCGATCGCTGATATTGTCGCTTTGCAGCAATTTTCGGACGGAAGATTCGCAAACAAATGACATCGTGCTATCGATTCTTCGGTGTTCAATGCATTTCCGTCAAGTGTTAATACAGAAAGTTTGAATTTCGGCTAAACAATTCCATATTGTATAATAGAAGTTGAATTACCGTCGGCTGATTGGTTTTATAGCAAACTGCTAATCGATCATTAGATAATTGCAATTGACTAATTATTTCCAAGGTAGTTCCGCTATTAAGAAGTGGCAACTGGTAGGTTGTGATCTGCGAGACGAGCACCTGACTGCGGTAAGCGAGAGCAAGTCGCACTTCGACATGACCCGACTTTTCGAAAGGAACACTCACTTCAGCGGATAATGTCGAATTTCTGAAACACTGAAAAAGAGTGATGATCATTTCTGAAAATTGTATTCATACGCCTTGGGGAAAGCTTGTCCAACGCCATCCAAGATTTCCATTCAACGGCCGAGTTTGCGCAAACCAGAAGACATCGGCAGAAGCGAGTTCTTTCAAATCTTCGCCAGTTGATTCGGGAAATGTCCATTGCAATTTCATTTCGTTATCGATGATTTCCATGTTAACGCGGGTTTGAATCAAAAGGGCTACAAAAAAAATATCGAACATCGGCGTTTGATTTCATCGTGTATATATTATCGACGTCGTACGACTGCGGAAAATTGGCTAATTGACAGAAATTGAAGGGATGGTGTTGGTTGGTGGTGTGACCAATATTTATTCTTGTTAGATATAAAACAATCTACAGTTTTAGCTAAAAGTTCAAGTGTTCCGCAAAGACCACTTCCATTTTTTTGGGCATCAATTTTCCGTTGACTTCGAAAATATAAATTTCAAATTTTAGAAGTGTTAAATATTGAACCTTGAGCTTGCGCAAGGAATGACACCAGCACAGCACGACAGCCTTGCTCACACGAGACTGTCACAATGTTCGGCTCAACACACATTTCGGAACATTTCGATTCTTTGTCGTCTAAATCCTCACAACCATGACGACACTAAAACTCACAGTAAAATAATTCAATTCATATATGTAAGTAGATTTAATGAATACCGAATTGATTCTCATTGTATAATTGAACTTGTCAATATCATCCCAAAATAATTCGTTTTTTCCAAGTGGATATGCCTAAAATTTTTATTGAATATTCATCAAATTATGCCAAAACTTACTCACCAAATTTCGGTCTTCGCATTGCGTTTGACAGTTTTTGAGCGACGATGAGAACACAGTGGCGGCATGGATTGAGCCGAATGCACAAAGAGCCAATACAACTAATTCTAGGATCATAGAGGGCGGACGGTTTTAGGTTGGCATGCGTGTCTTCTAAATCCCAATTCCGAATCAATTCGCGCGGTTTTCATGATTGCGGCGTCGAATCTCTGACGTCTCTTCGATTCACATGCTCTCTCATCCCCGAAAACACTGATCATCATGCCTGTTGATTGTCCGTCAATTGATATGTGTTATGTAATTGCCCTACTTTCCAGTTTGCAATTTTCATCTGTGTTCAGAAAATTTATTATTTCTATTTTTCAAGTTTCAAAAGTTTTTTTGTTCACATTAAAATCAGCGATTTCGTTTGCTCAAGAGTCGGTATAATGGGCATTTAAGCAAAACTGTATTATTCTTTTTTTTATTTAGAGTAAATATTGAACGACGTGACGAAAATCATTTGGTTAATTAATCGTAAAAACAAAAAATTGTCAAATATGAAACAAGAGCAATAAAAGAATGAAAATATTGAAAGAAACACAACAGTAATATTTATTAGCCAATTAAGACAGTTTCGATTCAAATATTCTTAATTTTTATTGATTTCTTCATCATAATTCTCTAATTGTTCGAGATTATTGTCCGGAAATTCTTCGAAATATTTCTCATAATCAAGTGTTGTCGTCGAAATGTCTGGATTTCCAGATATCTCAATTTCATTGGCTTCTGTTTCGTTGTAAATTCCTAATTTTCCGAATTTGACACATCCATATGGGTATGGAGCTGTACATCTGATAAAAACAAATATGATCGGCGTCTGACGAGTGATGTATGTGGATTGATTTACGGTCGGTGTGGTCTCGCGCGGATTAACTGGCAATTTCACATTAAATCGCTTATTTTATTACTTTAAATTTTAGAATTGCAAAAAATTTACAAATTGTCTAATAAAAAATAACCAAAAATGCATTCAGTTGTGACGAGACCAATGCGCGCCCGTAAATCTACACCCTTATAGTACATATTAGTTGGCGGCTATAATATTGTTTTTTTTTGTATACCTGCTGTCTTCAAGTTTCAAATATGCCGTATCAATCACGAGACATCTTCCACTTCCATCGTAAGTTCTTAATCGCAAAGAGAGATCGTCTAGTACTTCTCGATTTTTCGAATGCCCATTTGTCCAGTACATCTCAAATTATTTGTATTTTATTTCACCACATACAGGGTGTCATTTAAGTTCCCGCACAAAAGTTTGACGCCATGAAGAGCTTGGCTGTCGCACTTTTCGTGCACCAATACAATTTATTTTTGTTAAATAAGGTATATTTTACTTACTTTCCAAGTTTTACCTCATTCGGATGTGTTTCCGAGAAATGGCGAAGGCTAACATCCATTGCGCTTCCATTATCGAACTTCATAAGCAAAATGTGAGCCTGAGAGACATCATTCAACGCCTCGGTGTGCCTCTTAGAACGGTTTACGACATCATCTAACGTTTCAAGGAACTAAATACGACCAGTGACCGTCCCAGATAAGGAAGACTCGTCTCGGTAACCACTCCTCAGAAGATCAACGCCGTTAAATCGAAGATCAGGCGAAACCCACACAGGAGCATGAGAAAGATGGCGTCAGACGTGGGAATGAGCATTTTCGCTTTGGAACAAATCGTCAAAACGAAGCTTGGACTGACCCCATATCGTGTCCAAAAAGCGGCAATTCTATCGGCCGCCAACAAGTAGAGACGCTTCGAAAAAGCAAAACGACTTCTTGCTCGCACGCGGTCTGGAGAACACCTCGTCACTGTCTTCTCCGATGAGAAGCTGTTCACTGTGGAGGCGGCATTCAACTCACAAAACCATCGAGTACTTGCCCAGACATCCCAGCAAGCTTCTGAGAAAGGAAGAACATATCATCCAGCCTCACATCCTGCCAGTGTGATGGTTTTCGGTGCCATCTGCTCATCCGGGAAGTGCTCCCTGGTTTTCGCGGATCAGGGGGTGAAAGTGAACAAAGAAGTCTACGTTCGGGACATTTTGGAGAAGCATGTGATACCCTGGGCCAAAACGCATTTCGGTGGGCAGAAATAGGTTTTTTAACAGGACGGAGCACCCGCCCACACTGCCAAAACTACTCAGGAGTGGTGCCAGACCCATTTTCCCGACTTCATCAAGTCATCCGAATGGCCTGATTTCTCCCCAGACCTGAACCCGCTTGACTTTTCCGTGATGGGCTCTTGCAGGAGAAGGTCAACGCAAAACCCCACTCAAGTATAGAGGCTCTGAAGAAGACATTACTGGTGGAATGGGACAATCTTTCCATCGAATACCTGCGTACCACAGTCACATCCTACCCGAAGCGTCTCCGTGAAGTCATAGCTGCGAAAGGAGACCGAATCAAAAAGAGTTAATAGATAATTATTTGTTATACTATAGATAAAAAATATTTCGAGTCTCGTTTGATTTGGACTTTTAGTTTCAGAAATATATGCCTTCAAAGTTGTGCGGGAACTTAAATGACACCCTGTATGTATTTGTTTATAATATAAATAATAACATTTTGTCGATACCTTTATTTTTACAAATTTGGCAGGTTCAGTTTGTATTCCATATCGTCTTGCTCCAAGCGAAAAGTATCTTCTCATCTTCCGAATTGCAGAATTTGGTTTCATCATTTTTTCTAAATTAAAAACGACTCAACGTCATTGTTTTTTGGATAATTTTCTGTGCTTCGACAATATTCGAAAATGAAAATTTTTATATCGATAAAATGTATAAAACCCAAGTAAAAAAAAGCACGTCAATCCATCTCTACCCCCTTATTTGGCAGACGCCTATTCAACCAAAAAGTTTTTTTGTTTTTGCACACATTTTCGTGAGCTACAAAACATTTTTCAAAGTTGTTTTAGAGACCACTGATCTCGCGACTTTTGGTTTCAAATATAAAAAATTTTCGCTGTTCTTTTAAAAAATTAATGAAAATATAGTCAATTCAATTGCGAAAATTTCGAGTATTGAAGGTTTCTTTAATAAAATGGGAATTAATCGCTGAAAAAGAAACATACGCGTGAAGAAGAGGAACTCATCCTTGGTATCGAATCCGACCAAACTTCCAGAAATTCTCGCACAATTCTGTTTCGCCGCCTCTTGTCCGACAATTGTTTGATTTGGAAATGCGACATCCGACAGAATAAAGCATAATTTGACACCGTTATATTTGATATAAGATGTCCAATTATCGGGACAACGAAATGTTTCGAAAGCGAGAGAATTATCAGGGGAACATTTTTCGTCGGGCTTATAAATTAGAGAATAAAGGTATGTTGTGGAGTTATATGATCGACAGTAACCTGATTTGGAACAGGTACTTGTTTGATTGAAGACTACTTCATAGCCATTACTCTAAAAACCAAATATCTGATTTTGTATGTCAACCAGAACCACCTGATTTGAGCTGCGATAAACCGCAATAAAAACGTCTGAGCTATCCGGTTGGAAATATCGTGAAACATCTTGACCACTTATTGCTGGTCCTGCTTGTTTCTGAATCAGAAACTCGAATGGAATTCGATGTTTGATTACAATTCCAATAACCTTAAAAATCTATCATGATTCTAAATAAATGTTTGAAAAACCATCAACTGTGTAATGCTTGCTAGAAATAGACCTGCCCAAAAATGTGGCCTCATACTCAACTGACTCCAATTTGTGTCTGATGTAACCATGGATCGCTCGATGCTCGTTATTTATATACTCCCTAATTTTTAGTTTAATTTTAGATTATTTTACTAATTTTTCAAACATTAAATAAATGAAAGTAAGGACACCACATACAGTGCTGGCTATAATTTTATAAAAAACCCCATTTTCAGTCGTAAAATTTTTCGAAGTTAGCCGATTGTTCTGAAATTTTTTTGACAATATTTCCGACGCTTTGTTCAACTAATTCAGAAATCTGCTTGTTAACATTTCAAAAAGAAAGTGAAAAATTGAAATTTTATTGAAATTTGAAAAATACAAAAATGAGGCAGCACTTAATTTTAATCATTTTTTAGCTCACATCGGTATTATTATTAAACCAGAAAATTATTCGAAGCTGATTAGTATAAGTTCGTTGCGTAGCCTTTTGCGTTGCTTGACATTTTCTTGATCCCATATGGACGCTGTCTCCTCGGATGCATGGAACTCACGTGAATGATATATGTGTGGTCCCACGGTGTTTGTTCAATCGGTAGCATGGTTTTTGTATACGAACTATTTGGTTTTGAGTAATATGATAGCAAATTTCATTATTGTTGTTGTCTCCTGTGTTATTTCATAGATGAAAACATTCGATTCCTCTGGTCACATTATGTGTCATCTTACCTGTGATGGTTTGTTGTCTATTTCTTTTGATGGGAACGAGCAAAATATATGTATTATATGTAAAAAAAATGGTTGCGAGACGAAGCGATGTAAATCAAATTTTTAAGCACCGTCCCCAGAAGCCATAGATCTACGGTTTTTCCAAAACAACAGTGTAGTAACAGAGAAAAAAACCATTTTAATTTAAAAAAAAAAAGTGTAAAAATTGAAATTCTAAATATTTCATATTGCATTAATTTTCAAACTGTGTCTGGAGACTGCTGAATCAAAGTAGATTTACGAGCTGGTGAATTATTTTGCGCTTTAATACACTTTTTTTTCAAGAAACAAGATTATCAAAGCGAAAACGGAAATTCAAAGAACTGCTGCGGACCAAAAGTGAAACCGTAAATCTAGAGCAGTCGCCGGACGCTGGCAATATTCAAATGAATGAAGGAGTGCGTGTCATGCAGCCAAATGGATATTTATGCTCACACCTGAATACCATTCATTAGAATATTATTCGCAAAAATCGGCCAATATTACTTTCCGTCGTCAAACTTCAAATAGCGGTTATCTAGTAATAAACATGGTCCACTCCCATCGAAGTTGGTCGGATGTTGGTTTGTCTTATTTTGTATTACCGAGTCGTCATTTTTGATTTGATTATTCCATCTCATCTAAATATAAATAAAAAGGCCAATTCGATATATTAACATATTTATAACTGTTCTTCTCGCGCATGACATTTTTTCAATGCATGGTCCAATTCTTTTTCCTCCAAGAAGGAAGTAGTTTTTATCACGAAAAACATTCATATTATTTTTGAGTAAATCTACAAATAATTAATTGAAAAAAAAATAATCATTATAAAAGCACAAACCTTGAAATGCATTGAGTTCCTCGTTTGTGCTGAACCCAACAAGTTCTGCTCCAATACTGCTGCACAGTTTTTGAGCTTCGAATGATGTCCCTCTCACATTATCCGGGAAAATATCCCGCGAAAGGGTATAGCAAATCGTCTCATTTTTCGAATTCGTGAAATTCGCGCTGCACTGACGAGGGATTCGTTGCACAATCTTGGAGACTCTCGCGCATGAGTTCGTTTCAGATGAGTAGACAAAACATGTTTCGTATCGAGATTCGATTGAAGACGAACAGTTTATTGTTCCATTGCAGCTATTAGTGGTTCCCAGAATCGAATATTCCTTTTTCTAAATAAAATCGTTTTGATTATGAGCGTTTTCCGTTATATTCAAAATGATGCAACCGACAATTTGAATTATTCTTGAAAAAAAATCGACCAATCAATTTTCTGTTTAAATGTTTAACATAGTTTAACTGTTTTTGTGTGTATATCAATTTTTATAATACATGAATAAGCATAATTAAAACTAAACTCCATTAGTTGTATTATGCGAGACAATAATATAAGTTTGGTTTTGATTCTGAACGATTTCCGAAACTTCGTTCAATGAGCTGATATTTTCTTTGATAATTTCCCGATTTTTCAAAAAATCATTCGAAACTGGATGTTGTATAATTAATGAAAATACCTAATAAATATAAAATAAGACATTCATATCAAAATTACCAAAAATGAAACCGTTGGTACGAAGATGAATTCGAGCATTTTCCTTGAAATTTGTTGTGTTTTGGCTCTTTTGAAGTGTTACGATGAATTCGAAACAAAATTTATGAATGTGTACATGTATGTAAGGTGTTGTTAGGAATGAAGGACGTGTCCGTTTCTAAGGAACCCCATCGGAATCGAAGCTGATCATTCGAAAATAAGAAACAAACGCTTTATAATTATTAATATAAACGTTAGTAAAAATCATCAGCCGGTTTCATACATCCAAAATGATAATAATTTTGACATCTAAAAAAAACGATAAATTTCACAAATCACAAAAAAATGAGTTTGCCCTCCGTCTTCGAAATTATTTGTGATATTTTCCATTAATAGACATTGGCCACTTCCATCGAATGTTTCATATTTATATTGTCGAAGTAAAAGCACTCGGTTGTCCACATTATAATTATTTATCCATTCCATCTGAATTGAGCAGTTAATGTTGCTTTTTTTTTTGTTAAAAGCCCGTTACCTTGTGTGAGTTTGCACATATTTTATCTCCCCATTTACAGTTGAAATTCCGTTTTGCACCTAATAGAAAATATCGACCTGATTTTGTTGAATTGTAAAATTCTTAATTTTAAAATTTTGAATTTAATTTTTGTTTAAAGCCAACTTTGAAAATACCACAACTCATCAATATTGTTGAATCCGATGAGATACGCTGAAATTGACGAGCATCTTTCGAGCGCATCTGTCATGTTTCCATATGGTTTATCAGGAAATACTGTTGGTGAAGTAATATAGCACATTTCAACGTTATTCCAATTAATATAAGAACCCCACTTAGAAGGGCATTTTCGTTTCCGAACTGGAGCAGTCTGATTGATTCCGAAGTTGGCTGAGCAATCTTGAGAATCTTGTACTAATCGAATTGTGTATAGATATTGATTTTCCGTAAATGGAAGGCATTTTGTTGTATTACAATTGCTAACTTTGTCAGTGAGTAATAAATATCGCATCTCCTGCAATATAAGCCATTTGTGATGTAATACTCATCGTCAAATGACTGAATGAAATTTAAAACAAATACTCATGTCAGGTAAATCGAATAAAATGTTTTGAGATTCATAGGGAAACTAACGTGTCTCTATAATTATTTGGACTTTTCTCAACGAACTTTAGAAATTATTATAAGATTTTAGAATTTATTGAGATAATTTAGAGCATTCTTAATAAATTTTAGAAAATCTTATAAGATTTTAAAGTAATTTTAAGTTTAGCCATTCTCAATAAGTTTTAGGAAATATCAATAAACTTTCGAATTTCTGATAATTTTTTAGAATTTATTATTGAATATTTGATTCTCAAAATATTTTATTTGATTTGCCAAGTGATTCGATGCAAAAATAACTGTACGTGTTTGCGTACTCTGCATTTTACCGTACGCGAATTTTGCCGAGCTTTTTTAAATTTATAAGTTCGTAGATCATCACTGCTTTTGCAGAATCCAATTTCCCGCCACTGATCGGTCATTTGACGCAGACAGTATGTTAAAACTATTTTTTTTCTCGAGGCCGGTAAAAACATCAAATTACCCAATCTTCTCTGATAATTTTCGCCATATAAACTGCAATATAGATGTCATTTTGTCGAATTTCTCGGAGTTTTTTCATTTCAAATTCCGATATTATTGTTCTTCTTTCAAGAAAACTATATGGAGTGTTAGTTTTGACAAGCAAGCCAACAATCTTTAAATATGAAACTTAAAATCTGCAAAATAGAAAATATTACCATTGATTTGAATACAATTATGAATAGAATTATTAGAAATAAGACGACAAACTTCATCATGAAAAAAGTAAAATTGTGGAGTTTGCACGCATTATTCGTAGCCATGGATGTATTCGAATTTGTGATTTATTTTCAGCAATTTGCTTTCCTTTCAGGACATGGCTGTAATTCAACGTAGATTTTTCGAAAATAAATAATATGTAGACGACATTACACATTTATTCTTCAGAAAGATATATATGTACATATAGTCGGCGTCCGGCGACTGCTTTAGTCGGGTAGATTTACGGGGATGATTCTGTGTCTTGGTCTTGTGCGAACTGGTTTCTTCGCATCTTAGGTGTCGGTTCGATAATTTTTAAATCGAACGACTTTAGAAATTGAAGAAATGCCAAACTCATCAAGAAATAATGAATTGTTCCGAGATCCACCCACGTACAGCAGTCGCCGGACGCCGACTATTTGCGAGGAAAACGCGAATTTCGTGTTTTCCTCGCAAAACCTTAATTTATAGAAATAGTTTCATTTGAAATTGCTTCGATTTCCAATCTCGTCGATTCTATAAATTTTTTCCGATGGTGCAAACCATCCTTCATAAACTACAGTATCCGGTGTGGTGTCATAATGGTAATGTCCACCATCTCCATGCTCACTATAGCAATGCGTGTGCTCCAATCTTAGATTGTGTCCGGGGTCGGTTGAATGAATTACGGTAGTGCAAACGAGCGGAGCATCCATTTCGAAATAACGAAGCCACTTGTCAACATGCTCAGCATTTTCGAAAGGACATCCCGGGAAATCAGGCATCACGTGCAGCTTGGCTTTTCCCTCACGAATGATGAACACACCAGCCATCGAGACAAGCTTATTCCCAAAATGAGCTTCGAGACCCTCGCGTAGACAAACTGTCAAATTATTAGTTCCTCGCCTTTTCGACACTTTCAAATGAACTGTAAATTTTTAATATTCAACGATTCATTTGTATTCGAGTCTTACCAACATCGATTGTTTCGTCGGCTTCTGACAATGCGAGATTTGCCATCAAACTGAATTTCGGTTCGGCTACAATGGAAATCGCGTAGCCTTTTGGCGATTCCTCATCAATTTTTGCTATTTTTGTTGATGTTTTGTTGGTCTTCAAGTTCACGTCAGCCACCATTTCGTTGTTGACTCCGACGATTGGCCATGGTCCAGCTCCAGGTCCGATAACTGATGCTGAAGGGCTATCACAAACTTTTGCAATTTCCTTTAAAAATCGATTTGCAACTTCACAACAATTAAAGATGATTTACCCGAATATCAAACTGATGATCTGGATGAAACTCAGGAAACAGGTTTCCAGGTCCCCCAACTTCGGCGATCCTCAAATTTTTACCGAATCCCGATGATTGTTGATTGAATGGCGACTTTGATAAATCTTAAAATATCACTCTTCGGGTTCTCTTTGTTTATTTCTACCTGGGCATGCTACTACATCCACACTAACATTTTCAAAATTTTTCAACAGCGCGTTTTGAAAAACATTTTTCAGCTCATCCAAACTAGGCTTGAAGTTATCGATAATTTTAGAAAGATTTTTAGAGCAATCCGGCATTTTCTTCTGAATATTTGAATTGAATTTCTAAAAAATATAATCAATACGATATTAGTGATAGGAAAAGATAAAAGTAGCGGATACAGATGGTGATAAGAGGAGAAATCGAAATCATTGATAATAGATAAAACGTATTTTCATTGAGTTTTTGACCCTCTACTTTTAGTATAGATCAACGAATATTTCTATTCAACTTTAAATACTTAACTTATTTTTTTCACATTTTCAATATAAAAACCTCAATGCATATTTTGTCTCATACATGCGATTGTGCGATTTTAAGTTTGAGAACTCGGTGCTTGCACATTGCCAAATTCTACGCAAAATTGCACAACCAATGTTTTGTTCAATCGGAAATTATTCATTTTACACACATTTTGTACAATAACAAAAAATAAACTCAATACACAAGAACCTGAAATTGAAATAATGGATATCCTAATCGGAACAAATGTATCGAGTTGAAGTTCTAAAATCGCAGGCACAAATTAGGCGCCAGATTTCTTGGGAATGTCAAGTTTAGCGAATCGGTCAGCAAATTTCGAATGAACGATTTCGCGGAACATCTCGTAGCAGGGTCCCGTGAAATTTCTGACGAGATGCCGGAAATTGCCGGCCGCGCACATTTGATTGAAAACTCTTCAACAGATAAGCGATATTTAGCAAGAAATCAGCGGAAAACCTTGTGATGAATCCTGAACATTTCGGGCACGATCCGTCGAAGCAATGGAATGCGCAATCCACACGGAGGCATTTGTTGATCTCGAATATGTCTTGATTCGACTCGGCAACACATTTAAGAGCACAATCCATTAAAGCAGGACATTCTTTAAAAAATAGAATGGCTTTCTATCCAATCGAAATTCCCTTACCGTTAGACGATTTTTCGCCAGACAAAATATCTACGATCTGCAACTTTGACGTCAGACATAGCGGGCAATCGTTGCATTCATCTTGACAACCTGTCGTGAAAATACATCCATAATCGGTGTACTGAACAAATGGATTCCATATTTCCAATTCAGAAAAAATGAACCTTGTCAATGGCATCGTACATCTTTGATGAAATCGTTTGGTTGTCGAGATATTTTTTGAGGGCAGGGAGCTGAAAATATGTTTACACTAATTTCCAGTGTTTAAATCCTAATTCAACATTCTATGGTTCAAGGCTCTCGCTTTTTTTTTCCGATCCATTCGTATTTTTTTCAACTTTTTTCGTAATACAAAAAATTTCCGAAAATCCTACATTGACACATTTCTTTTGTATCGAGCACTGCAGAAGCTCTCGACACTGCTTGTTGATAGCCGACGCGGTCATCGTGGTGGCAACGAGAAAAGCCGCACAGATGAGCACCGTCGTGATTTGTGCCATCCCCCTACAATGTACTCATCAGTGCTATGACTCAAGTGATGACAAAACGATCGAAGATTGAACAATTAATGTAAATGAAAAAGGTGTGAAATCGATAAAAAAGAACATTAATTTTTAATTGCCTAAATGCTACAATGAAGCCCAAAAAATAAGGAAAATTAGTGGAATTTTTAACGATATGTTTTAAGTAATTGAAACATTAAAAATAATCAAAATAATCGATGTTCTTCTATTAAAAACAATGAGACAAATTAGGAGTTCAGTGACCAATCAATATTGGGTTTGGGTTTAATTTGATGATCTTCATTTCTGATTAGACACCTTCTATCATTTGATTTTTTGGTTACACACAAAAGAACAGAAACGAAACGAAAGTTTGCGATATTTGGAAAGTCTCGAACATTCATGATACTCTCAGAATTAATTTTTATTTTTATGAGAGCCAATTATAGTGTTCTAATTATTGGGTCATTTTTGAAAACATTTATATGAGGACAAAACGAAAACGATTTGTCTTCCTAATTTTTATTTAAAACTACTACTGCAATAGCAATTTCTTTTGCAATTACTTTTAAAATAATAAAAAATTTTCTTTTCTGTATTTTAGGTCTGGAAATTTTTAGAAAAAAAAAATATGAAAATGATTGAAGATTTCTGAGTTTGGGAAACTTGATGCAAAAAATCGGAAGAACAGAGAAACATGAAATCAGCAAATTGTCAATATTGTTTGGGCGCAAAACTGGTTGCGCGGTCGACTGAAATGGGCAAGAAAAAAGCAGTTGTCGCCTTGAGAACGTGAGTGGATATTGTTACACTGAATGACCAACGATAAACAAGAGTACACGCCTCGATAAGGAAGGCATTTTTTGGAAGGCATTTCTTTGGTCGGTTTTGATTGCATCAATGTTCTGCAGATTACAGTATACTGGAGCGCCGACAAAAAACTACGAATATACGAATGGCAAATTGGCGCGACGGCGGCAGGCTAATGGAAAAAAAAAAGTTGAGAAGAGAGGCGGAAGAGATTAGAATCTTGACAGGAACTGGATATGAGACAAGATGGTGCCAAAAACATTATCTACAGGGTGTCATTTAAGTTCCCGCACAAAAGTTTGACGCCATGAAGAGCTTGGCTGTCGCACTTTTCGTGCACCAATACAATTTATTTTTGTTAAATAAGGTATATTTTACTTACTTTCCAAGTTTTACCTCATTCGGATGTGTTTCCGAGAAATGGCGAAGGCTAACATCCATTGCGCTTCCATTATCGAACTTCATAAGCAAAATGTGAGCCTGAGAGACATCATTCAACGCCTCGGTGTGCCTCTTAGAACGGTTTACGACATCATCTAACGTTTCAAGGAACTAAATACGACCAGTGACCGTCCCAGATAAGGAAGACTCGTCTCGGTAACCACTCCTCAGAAGTTCAACGCCGTTAAATCGAAGATCAGGCGAAACCCACACAGGAGCATGAGAAAGATGGCGTCAGACGTGGGAATGAGCATTTTCGCTTTGGAACAAATCGTCAAAACGAAGCTTGGACTGACCCCATATCGTGTCCAAAAAGCGGCAATTCTATCGGCCGCCAACAAGTAGAGACGCTTCGAAAAAGCAAAACGACTTCTTGCTCGCACGCGGTCTGGAGAACACCTCGTCACTGTCTTCTCCGATGAGAAGCTGTTCACTGTGGAGGCGGCATTCAACTCACAAAACCATCGAGTACTTGCCCAGACATCCCAGCAAGCTTCTGAGAAAGGAAGAACATATCATCCAGCCTCACATCCTGCCAGTGTGATGGTTTTCGGTGCCATCTGCTCAACCGGGAAGTGCTCCCTGGTTTTCGCGGATCAGGGGGTGAAAGTGAACAAAGAAGTCTACGTTCGGGACATTTTGGAGAAGCATGTGATACCCTGGGCCAAAACGCATTTCGGTGGGCAGAAATAGGTTTTTTAACAGGACGGAGCACCCGCCCACACTGCCAAAACTACTCAGGAGTGGTGCCAGACCCATTTTCCCGACTTCATCAAGTCATCCGAATGGCCTGATTTCTCCCCAGACCTGAACCCGCTTGACTTTTCCGTGATGGGCTCTTGCAGGAGAAGGTCAACGCAAAACCCCACTCAAGTATAGAGGCTCTGAAGAAGACATTACTGGTGGAATGGGACAATCTTTCCATCGAATACCTGCGTACCACAGTCACATCCTACCCGAAGCGTCTCCGTGAAGTCATAGCTGCGAAAGGAGACCGAATCAAAAAGAGTTAATAGATAATTATTTGTTATACTATAGATAAAAAATATTTCGAGTCTCGTTTGATTTGGACTTTTAGTTTCAGAAATATATGCCTTCAAAGTTGTGCGGGAACTTAAATGACACCCTGTAAACATGCATTGCATTTTGGCAGCCTGCCCAATGTTCACGGTGATTCTGATCTGCTGAAATATTTTGAAAATGCCTCGAATTCATTTCGAAGCAATGAGCTGGTTTAAAACCCGAAAATTTTCCAAACTTTTCAAAATAGGAGTTTCAGCATTAATTAAACTAATTTTGGGAGAGCATTTCACACTTGTTCTTAAAATTTTGCCTTCAAATACGATAAAATGTCAGAAATCGTCTTGAAGCCGGTTGATTCGTTGATCCCTCAAACACATCGATATTTCAACACTCGCTTTTCCGTGTTCAAAAAAAAACAAATCAAAAATTTTGTGAGTTGTGGAGCGACTTGTTTTGTGTGCATCGTGTGGTTTATTGATAAGTAGAAGAGATCTTCTTGATATGACCCTTTATTTTAAATGTCTTGCACAATGTTGAAATGTTAATGTTTATCCGACGTTTCGATCTTTAGATCATCATCACGGAAGGTCAATTTACCTACAAGATAATAAGTAATAGATTGGTCAAAAAAGGAATAAAAGAGTTAAGTTGTAAGTATCAATCAGAAAACAAACAAACCATAAGAACAAATCAAGAAACAAAACAATGTCCAATACGTAACACAAAAATATGTTAGGAGCGTTAATGTGAGGATGTAGGTAGATCAAAAATTTTAGAGAACTAGAGGATAGGTTTAGAAAAGTTGTTTTAGCTATGACTAAGAGAAATCCCCTCGAATTCCCAAATCCGAGACCAAATCTATAAGTTCTTCTTTAGTATTAAGTTCAGGATTCTTGGTTTTAATATAAATTCCTTCCAGTATTCTTCGACGAGTTGTGTTCCTCTCAATATCTAGTATTTTAATAGAAAGTTAAAAAACTAAAGAAGAATTTTAATAGAAAGTTAAAAAACAGTTAAAAAGTTAAAATGTTAGTTTCACCCCCTGATCCGCGAAAACCAGGGAGCACTTCCCGGTTGAGCAGATGGCACCGAAAACCATCACACTGGCAGGATGTGAGGCTGGATGATATGTTCTTCCTTTCTCAGAAGCTTGCTGGGATGTCTGGGCAAGTACTCGATGGTTTTGTGAGTTGAATGCCGCATCCACACTGAACAGCTTCTCGTCGGAGAAGACAGTGACGAGGTGTTCTCCAGACCGCGTGCGAGCAAGAAGTCGTTTTGCTTTTTCGAAGCGTCTCTGCTTGTTGACGGCCGATAGAATTGCCGCTTTTTGGACACGATATGGGGTCAGTCCAAGCTTCGTTTTGACGATTTGTTCCAAAGCGAAGATGCTCATTTCCACGTCTGACGCCATCTTTCTCATGCTCCTGTGTGGGTTTCGCCTGATCTTCGATTTAACGGCGTTGAACTTCTGAGGAGTGGTTACCGAGACGAGTCTTCCTTATCTGGGACGGTCACTGGTCGTATTTAGTTCCTTGAAACGTTAGATGATGTCGTAAACCGTTCTAAGAGGCACACCGAGGCGTTGAATGATGTCTCTCAGGCTCACATTTTGCTTATGAAGTTCGATAATGGAAGCGCAATGGATGTTAGCCTTCGCCATTTCTCGGAAACACATCCGAAAGAGGTGAAACTTGGAAAGTAAGTAAAATATACCTTATTTAACAAAAATAAATTGTATTGGTGCACGAAAAGTGCGACAGCCAAGCTCTTCATGGCGTCAAACTTTTGTGCGGGAACTTAAATGACACCCTGTAGAATAGGTGATAATGATACGAAGAATAAATCTCTAACAACTTCAAAGCAGATCCACCATTAAAATTAGTGCATAAACAGGCCCGAAACTACATATAATCCTCTAATGAATATAAGAGACAAACAAAGAAATTATCGAAAGAGATTTGGATTCACGCAAGACCCAATTATATTACTCATTAGTCTTTAAAACAAATTGTAAATCTTCTTTACAAAATGACGGGATGTTTGGATAACTGATTCAAAATTCTCAAAGAATTAGTTTATCATTAACAAATAATCAACAACAAAAAGAAAACAATGTAAAACAACAAAAACCTTTTTTAATCTTCATCACTATAATTGGTATCATCAATTTGTTCCTCGCCGATCTCCATATTTTCATCCTCCTCATTTTTAACTTCAGTTTTCGGATTTCCATACCCATAATCGGCAAACTTCTCTGGATCAAAGTTACGGCCATCGAAACGTTCGCGAGCCTAAATGATTTTTTTCCAGTTAAAACAAATTGGATTAGAACAATAACCAATCGTATACAAAATAATTACTATCGGATTCATCAATTTTAAATCTCATCCGTAGAATTTCCAGACGGAACAGATTAATCTTACAGGAAAGTTGCTGCTGGTTTTGAGCTTCTAGAGTTCTATTTCAGAAAAATATGCTTTTGACATTAAATATTTCCAAAAATTGTATTATATGATAATGTGTTTGCATTCCCTTTTATTATATGAATAAGTTCATAGGGAATAAAATATTATAATGTATTAGTCAATTTTAAATAATAAAAAACAACCTCTTTTCTTTCTTTTGCTGACATTTTATTTTTTACTGCCTCCGACATTGTCTTTTGCCGATCAGCAACTGCATTAAATAACTGAACAACGCCCCTAAAACAGATATATTAATAGTTTTAATGAAAACCATTTTACTTGGTAGCAGTTCTTCTAAGAATTCTTTCCTTTTCACGATTCGTAGTAATATCGGGTTTGATCAATGCCAATTTGATGCGATATTCACGCAAGCTTCTCTTTAGGCTTTGCTCTTTTCTTGTTAATTTCTTAACTACCTTTTTCTTCTGAAAATATAGTTATTACATATTAATCTTTTTTATTTAATACAATACTTTTTGTATAGCCGGAAATTCAACTGTTTCCTCAGCATTTAAAGAATGAGCCGATGTCCCTTCGACACCCTCATCATCTAAATGATTAATTTTTTTCTAATTTTTATATCTCATCAAATCGTGCCGTAGAAACGGCGGTGAAAAGAGAAAGAGATAATCAACATACCTGAATCTTCCTCAACATCTGATATTTCCCTTTCGTTGTCTGAATCGTCTTCTGTTATAATTAAGCGATCTTGTCCTCTAACCGCCATAGTTTATAACTAAAACTGTAATAATTGGGAAAATACGAAAATAAAATCGCTACGGCCGCAATCAATAACGCTGAAAACCTCGTCCGCGGCCACGGTTTAAACACTATTTTACAATTCGCCCTTCCATTTGTATGCTGCATTTCTGCGAAAAAAAAAAGAAAAGAAACTTATTCCGTTCCGTTTCCGCCATGGAAGGAAACAGTTTTCCGTTTTTTTTTTTCGTTTCCGTTATTCAGCAGAAGGAAACAAGTTATTTCTGGGCAACTTTGCTGATATATAAGGTGGTTTCAAGCGAAATGCATCATTTTAACCCTTGAATTCAAACGAACATACTACTGCATAGAATTAACCGGGCGACAGGTCTGATGAGTAGAACTGATGAGGCAGAGTTTCATAGCCCACTTCGTTGAGTTTCTGGAGTGTCGTTATGCGACGTGAGGTCGGGCATTGTCGTGGAGACGAATAAGTCCCGTCGTATTGGCCAACCACGTGCGTTGAGGCTTCTGATGTTCTTCGTCGATTTGCTGGCAGCCCAATCATTTAATCTAGTAAATTGAAAAAAAAACAATAACGCGGATCTACGTGAACACATTTCAAATAAGTTTTATAACAACAATCTGGAATAGTTCAAAAATTCGCAAACCGAAGATTGGGCGAGGCACGTGCAATTTGAGCTTCAGGTAATCACGTGAAATCACGGAAACCGACGAATGTACGTTTCTAATAGTACTAAAGTTCGGGGGAAAAAAGATACTCGGTTAAAGGGAGCGGAATTCGCGCGGCTAAAGCGAATACTCGGGATACAATATTTCCACGATGCCTCGAGTTCCCATGCGGGTGACTTTGCAGTTTCAACTACGCGGACTCCGCAAAGTGTATTTTTTTCCAAGCGTCATTTTCATCGGTTGCGAAAAAAACTTGTTTTATTATTATTTTTCAATTTTTTGGGTTTCTATCTAAAATCTGTATAGCACAAAAAATAATTACAAAATAATTCCGGCAAACATATTTCCCATTTCGTATTTGTATTTTTTTTTTCCTTTTAGGTGATAAATTGAATTATGATGTAAAAGTTTTTTTTAATTACCGTCTATAACCTTGTTCCACTTTCATCAAGATAACGTTGTTCGGTTTCAGAATTAAGAATGACGTCGCCGCAAATTTGTGAGTAATTTAAACAGCAAAATGATATAATTAGCACTCATTTCTTTGATTATCTGCGTCAGTTGATTATTTTAGATTAATTATTTTGAACACAGACGCACGACATAAAGTCACAACAGTCACAATTTTTATTTTCATTTAAATCGAAATTGTGATAACAGCGCAAAAAAAACACGCTGATTCGGAAATTCCTTCCAGTTTTAAGATATTGTTGAGAAATGACAAATGTATCCAGGTGTCGTGGGATCCTGCGTTTTGTACGCAATGCGATGAGCCAGTTACCGTAATCCTCGCAGCGATTTACGGAGTTTTTTTTTTTAATTTTCCTTTAATTTTTTGCTGCATTTTCTTATTTTTTTTTTAGAAATCTTTTATTTAAAACCTGTAGAAACCGAGTTTAATTATTTATTTTTCAAAATATGCACTTTTCCACTTGACATGTTGAGTTGGGAATTATTGTGATTTTGACGTTCTAAAAATTATTTTGAAAATGAAGAATACAAAAACAAGATAATAGAAACGCGTACAAAAAGCAAAACACGAATAAATAATTTTATTAACGACAAAACTGTTTTATTTTAAATCTCTGCTGTTTTTACCAAAAAATATCGTTTAAAAGTGCTTATTCTGCAAAATAAATTATTAAACTCGGTTTCTGCAAAATTTAAATAACAACATTTCGAAGGGAAATACGAAAATTGAGCGAAAAATAAAAAAAATGAATATGCGAAATTTAAAAAAAGTGCCCGTAAATCGCTGGGAGGATTACGGTAACTGTCTCTTAGCATTGCGTAAAAAACGCAGGATCTTACGACACCTGGATACATTTGTCATTTTTCAACAATACCATTCAAATGCGATAATTTCCTTGAAATGAGAAAAAAGGCGTTTTAATTGCTACCAAAATAGCAAATGAGTGGAAAAACCGTGACAGAAAACCAAAAAAAAGAAAACATTTATCTCAATTTAATATTATATTCCCAAAAACGCGCCGATTCGAGTTGAGTTTGATTCACATTTTATTCGTAGTGCGGTACCCGAATTCCGCCTAAAAAATGCAATGGTCCACATTATTCAAGGCGATCGTTTTATTTAGCTAATATGACATCGGGTTTGGGTGGTAATTTTAATCGTATGATGTTGGAAAAACATTTCGATTTTCATAATTAAATCGGACTATTGAACTTTCAGCAAATAATAAATGGTGCTAGCCATAATTTGGTAGTTTGTTTTCTTCTTTATTTCCGCTGCAAAGTTATAAATCGAATAAAATAAAAAGAATAAATGGAACTAATCGACCAAAAAAAAATGAAATCAGTTGTTGCTTTAAATTTTGGTGTTTTTTTTTCTTAGATTATCACAAATTTTGTTTAAGTCTCCCTCATTTTCAATTATTTTTCAAATTTAAAAAATTTTAACAGTTAATCGGGAATTGAACATGTATTGCACAGAAGATTATGCCAAGATTTCTAAAGTGGTCATTTATATTGCATTTCCATTCCTTCTTCCGGTCTATTTAATAGCATTTTATATCTTAATATTCAAATGCCCTCAATCGTTCAATCGCTATCGAATTCTGTTGCTTCGACACACAGTCTGGTGAAAAAGAAAAGAAAAGAGAAAGGATTATTTAAAAGAAATGTTTAGTAATTTTCTATTCGACATATTGTTGTCATTTTTATGGCATCCGTCTTTTATTCTTCAATTTTGGGCGCTTTGCGCAAATGGTCTTGGAATTGCCACACCTTATATTACGTTTTTTCTATTCATTCTTGGAATTATCGGTATAAACGGAATGTTTTACTTAACTTAGCAACACCTTCTTCAGGATTGGGTTTAACCACTGTCGATTTATTCGAATATCGATTGAAACAAGTGCTTTTTAAAAAGGCGGACATCCGCATTTCAATAGCAAAATATGGAAGATATTTGGTGTATTTATTGTGCACTGTTAGTGTCATTCTTCTGTCAGTCTCTCAACCGCGTTTGACCAATCAAGACGCGCTTAAGATGAGGTTTCGAGAGGTAATAATCGTTGAGAAGAACGATAAAAATGAAATTGATGTCGGTTGCCAATCTCTCATTCGTTTGCAGCTGACGACACCAAACAACAAAGTATTTTGCCAGAATTGCCTGGTTATCGATATCTCCATCGGAATATGCTGGTACTTCATGATATCCGCAACTTTGACAATATCCAGTGCTTCTTTTCTTATATTAATCAACGTTGCTTCCTGTTTTCTATTACTTTCGACAAGCAATAACTCATTTTCTGCTAAAACATTTTCGGTACAAAAAAACTTCCTTATCAGTTTATGCGTCCAGGTACTAAATCAGTTTTCTCTTTAACATTTTAAAATGTTAGTTTTTATTCCGAACGGTTTCGACACTAGAACATTTGTTTTTAGCGAAAAGAGGTGAAAGACCGTGTAAAACTGAGAGACGCAGACAACATTTCGTTTCTCTGTTTCTACCGTAATCCGAATCAATCGATAATATTGGCTCAGATCCGTTGTAGTTCCCTTCGTCGAAGGGTACAAATCTAACCGATTGCTCATAAAAAAGGGTATTATAGTAAATACGTAAAATAAACAGACACGATTACCAAATAGTACATATATAGAAGATATAGCAATTAGAATGTCTATTTTAATATGTTAAAAGCGCACTTTTTCGAGACGGTAATTCAAACTCCAATTCAAACAGTGGGTATTCGATTACCGTCACTTACTTACTTAGTCACTTAGTCGGTTCGTCCTTCGCCTGTTGAGGCGCGAACCACAGCTTTCCAAGCTTTTCGGTCCATGGCTTGGGTGGACCAGGGGGTGATAACGGCTCCTTCAGCTGTTCTTGTAGTGATCTCCTTCCGAAGCGAGTCCGACCATCTCATGGGAGGCCTTCCTCTTGGCCGGGTCCAATTCCACGGCCGCCACTCCGTTAGAAGAGTAGTCCATCTTCCATCTGTTCTTCTAGCAACGTGTCCAGCCCAGGTCATCTTCCTCTTCGTGATGTGGTGTAGGGGGTCCCGAACTTTAGACATGATGCGGATGTCCTCTCGATGAAGATCTTGTTCACGTTGTTGTGATAACGTGAGACCAACCAATCTTCGCTCAAGCGCAGCGTGACTAATTCGGACTCTCTCGGCAAGAGCTTTGGTGAAGGTCCAAGTCTCTGATCCGTAAGTCAGCGCTGGGAGAATGATGGAATCGAAGAGCTGTGCGCGGGTTTTGTTACAGGAAATCAAATCGGTGGTGTTCTTGATTCCATTAAACGTTGCCCAAGCTGCTCTTCTCTTTCGGAAGATCTCCTTGACTAGCTCGTTTTTGGGGGTGAGTAGTCTTCCAAGGTACACGTATTCGTCAACATCGTCAATGATACTGACCGAATTCTGGTGCGTTAGGGTAACCTTGGCGGAGTCTGCGAAGGGGTTACGTAGGACTTTGGTCTTTCCAGCGTTAATCTGGAGCCCTACTTGTTCGCTCTGCAAACCGCAGGTGTGTGAGGTTGCGGCCATTCACTCGTAATCCTGGAGTGTTCGTATTGTCTTCTGAGTCGTTTTTGAATTGACTCCAAGACAATTCACGGAAAACTTGCTCCAGGCACGCGGAGAAAAGGTTCGGCGAGATTGGGTCACCTTGCCTTACTCCTCTTCGAACAGGTATCTCTACCTGTCGATGGAATGGCGTGATGCTTGTGGAACAGTCAGAGTAACAACTTTGGAGTAGCTGGATATACGCTTCTTAAACGCCTTGGTCTCTTAGGATCTGCCACACTGCTGAATGCTCAACACTGTCGAAAGCCTTCTTGAAATCAACGAAGACAAGTGTGAGTGGGAT